GCGAGACATGGAGACAGACCTCGTCTCTTAGAGGCCCTATTTAACTAATTACAACTTTGTGCATTACGATCAAGTATAAAAGAGAGGAAATTGGGGGAGGAGGGTTGGGGCACCGGGTCGGGAACTCTGAATCTTCAAATGAGCGGTATGTCATTTTGTGCTTGATTAGAGGTTAATCTTCCACAAAGGTATTGTTTCGCGAATGCCATAAGCCTGGTCTTATCCCTATGGAAAAAAAGTTAAATGCTATTTCAGCCTATTGAAGCAAAACTAACACCCCCACTGGCAGACAAAGACCACACAGTAAGATGAATCCAGGCCCTAAAAATCCTGCCAGGCTAACACCCTCATAAAAATTCTTTAGTATTAAAAACTTGATCAAATGACTGTAATTTATTAGTGTTCTTTTAGCTAAATGTGTGCACGGCGTAGCAGTGCGACGTGAACGGGACCTATAAAGATAAAAGTTCAGCCCTCCCATGTTAGGGAATTAGAGGATTAAGACCACAAAGATGGGTAGGGAAAAAGGATCAGGCCTATAAATTACTTCTCAAATTCCCCTAATTTTATTAATCAGAGATGGTAACTAAATACCTCTTCTCAGCCTCTACCACCCACTAAATCAAAAGGGCCAATCTTTTAGAACTGATCAAGATAAAGCCTTTATATTAGCCTGTATCAGTGTTATAGTATTATACACTATATTGTCAAACGGTTTGGGACGTCTGCCTTTACATGCACATGAACTTTAACGACATTTAATCTGTAGGGTTTATTTTGGAGTTGGCCCAACCTTCGCAGCTATAACAGCTTCAACTCTTTTGTTTATGGGAATTTATGACCATTCTTCTAGAAGCGCATTTGTGAGGTCAGACACTGATGTTGGACGAGAAGGCCTGGCTCGCAGTCCCCACTCTAATTCATCCCAAAAGGTGTTCTATTGGGTTAAGGTCAGGACTCTGTGCAGGCCAGTCAAGTTCCTCCACACCAAACTCGGTCATCCATGTCTTTATAGACCTTGCTTAGTGCACTGGTGCGCAGTCATGTTGGAACAGGAAGGGGCCATCGCCATCTTTTCCCACAACGTTGGGAGCATGAAATTGTTCAAAATGTCTTGGTATGCTGAAGCATTAAGAGTTCCTTTCACTGGAACTAAGGGGCCAAGCCCAACCCTTGAAAAACAACCCCACACAATAACCCCCCCTCCACCAAAATTTACACTTGGCACAATCAAGTCAGGCAAGTTCTATTCTCCAGGCAACCGCCAACCCAGACTTGTCCATCGTATTGCCAGACAGAGAAGCGTGATTCGTCACTCCAGAGAACATGTCTCCACTGCTCTAGAGTCCAGTGGCGGCGTGCTTTACATCACTGCATCCAACGCTTTGTATTGCACTTGGTGATGTAAGGCTTGGATGCAGCTTCTCGGCCATGGAAACCCATTCCATAAAGCTCTCTACGCACTGTTCTTGAGCCAATCTGAGGGCCACATGAAGTTTGGAGGTCTGTAGGTATTGACTCTGCAGAAAGTTGGCGACTTCTGCGCACTGTGCGCCTCAGCATGCGCTGACCCCGCTCTGTGATTTCACGTGGCCTACCACTTCATGGCTGAGTTGCTGTTGTTCCCATTTGCTTCCACTTTGTTATAATACCTCTAACAGTTGACCATGGAATATTTAGTAAGGAAATTTCACAAATGGACTTGCACAGGTGGCAACCTATCACGGTGCCATGCTTGAATTCACTGAGCTCCCGAGGGCGACCCATTCTTTCACAAATGTTTGTAGAAGCAGTCTGCATGCCTAGGTGCTTGATTTTATACAACTGTGGCCATTGAAGTGATTGAAACACCTGGGGCCTCATCAACACTGCGTACGCACAAAAACACAGCGTACGCCAGCTTTCACGTTCACGGCCAGATGTACTAACAGTGAAATTAACGTAAGAATGTGCGTTCCTCCAAGTAAACTTCATGTCTGGCGTACGTATATTTGTTGTGATTTTTGTCCGTTGGCGACTCATAGAGGCAATAAAGTTAAGTGGCAAACATTACACTACGAATTGTTCTATCGCACCACCAGCCGTCAGATATTGCTTATAATTTGTAATTGATAAATTATTTGACATATTATTATCACACGAGTTTTATTAAAATATTATATTATGCAATTAAGTAAGAACATATATAAAGCATGTCCAAATTGATACAACCCGTCTAGCAATGGTTAGTTGGCTTAACTAGGAATAAAAAATAAACTTCATTAATTCGGTCAGTAAAGATAAAAAAAGAAAGTAATATTTTTATTCAGCAAGGACACATTGAAGTGACAAGTAAAAGTGACAGTAAATGCATTTATAATGTTACAAAAGATTATAAGATTTCGACATCTGTTTGGTTTAAGTTTTTATTCATTAAAGAATCCTGAAAATACTATATCATGGTTTCCACGAAAATATGAAGCAGAAGCACAGCTGTTTTCAACACTGATAATAATCATAAATGTTTCTTGATCATCAAATCATCATATTAGAGTGATTTCTGAATGATCATGTGACACTGAAGACTGGAGTAATGATGCTGAAAATTCAGCTTTGATCACAGGAATAAATTACACTTTACTATATATAAGACATTTTCAGTGAAATTTCGTTTCTTGCTTGCTTTAGCCATGTTCTTGCAGGTTTCTTTTGCCAAATTGGACTAATTACCATATTTAAATTAATTTAATTGGGGGTGGAGACTGGGTGGGGCGTTGTGCTCGTGCATGTGCGCTCAATTTTACGTTAATTGGGATGTACAAAGAGAATATGCGTGGGATCCTTCGTACACAGAGATTCATACATCTGCTTTTTTTGTGCGTACGCACATTTACAGCTTTGTCCGTACGCAATGTTTTAGTATGAATTCAACGCAAGTCTTTGTACATGAGGCCCCTGGATTCAATGATTTGGAGGAGTATCCCAATACTTTTGGCAATGTATATAATATTATAACAATTATAGTACTTATTAATATTTTGCTTTTTGTTTTACCCTCACCCTCATGTCATTCCAAACCTGTATGACTTTCTTTCTTCTGTGGAACATAAGATACTTTAAAGAATATTGGTAACTAAACAGTTTTGGTCACCATTGACTTCCGATGTTTGAACAAAAGACATTACTCAAAGTATCTTTTTTATGTTCCACAGAAGAGAAAAATACATCGTACAGCTTCGAAATGGCATGAGGCTGCGTAAATTATGACAAATATTTAATCTTTGGGTGAACTCTCCCTTTAAGTTTTGGTCCTTTTGTTATGTGCTTTTGTCTTTTTTTTCTATATATTTCAATTTAGCATTAACTTATTTTATTTCAGTTTTAGTTTTGGTCATTTTAGTACTTCAACTTCAACTTATTTTATTGCAGTTAGTTGTTATTTGTCATTTTCTATATTTCAGCCTTATTTCAGTTAACAACAATTTAAAAAAAAGTTCTAGTTGTAATTTCAAATAACAACACTATCCTGTATTAAACTGAGCAATGCGAAAAGAGAATAATCAAGACAGATGGAGCATTAAACTACTAATGATAAAAAAGAATTCCTAATTTAATATCAGCAGGTTGTTTTGTCTTCCTATCCTAGTTCGTGTAACCTGGATCAAGAAGGTCAAATCTGAATAATGGCCATTTCATATTTCTAAAAGAGCTCAGCTCCTGAACTGTCCTTTCGATTAAGAGTCATAAGCGCACAGGAGATTGGCGGTGACACGTTAAGTCTCTGATTGGTGTATTTTGGAGAGAGGATGTAAACGCAGTGGAGAGTAGGGAAGTGTAAACAGTCCTGAAGGAGGAGGTTCAAGGCTCAACTCTGATCAGCAGAGCAGTAAAGCTGAACTAGAGCCCTCAGAGTGTGTGCACAGACTTCCGTTTCAGCACAGGTCACAACATTTCTGGCATAAAGTTACTCAACATTGGGACACTACAGCCAGGGCAAGCAGGAAAGATGACAAGCAAAGGCCTCTGTGGTCTGGTAGACTAACTACATCATAGAGTTCATGGTTTCTGCTGGACCGTGCCAGTGTGAGAGAGTTAAGGCCAAGGCTAGTTGACGCAGTCACTTGGATCGGTCACTTCCTCTTTAAGGCCACTGCTGCGTTGTACAAGATTAATGAATGTCAAATTTTCAGTGACATCCATTATGCCTTGCAAACATACATTTGGCTTTCTGAAACATTCTACATTGCTGTATCAAATTATGCTGATAATTTAATTTCATAAGTTTAAATAATAATATTTTTTCCAGAAATTAATACAATTCATTGTTACATTGATTAAAAATGACCGTAAAGACGTTTCTAATGTTAATAAAAGTTTTCTATTTCAAATAAACGCTGTTCTTTTGAACTTTCTATTAATCAAAGTATCCTGAAAATATACACAAAAGTATATATATATATTTGACATGCTTCTTGAACACCAACTCAGCGTATTAGAATGATTTCTGAGGGATCATGTGACACTGAAGACTGGAGTAATGGCTGCTGAAAATCCACGTTTGAATGGTAATGTACAAACCAATTAGTAATGTTTTGCATCATTATGCGTTTATGAATTTATGGAAAAGAGAAAAATATTGTTAATGAACAAAATAATGTTGACAAGAAAGCTTGGCATTTAAATACAAATCTCAATATCTCAAATATTGAGAAAAAATAAATATATTGTTGACTCCTGGTATGATAACTGACATTCAAAAAAAAAAATTACTGATATTTTTAAAAGGTTGATACTGACAAGATTGATATAATGCCGGTTTATAATTTAACAAATGATACTGTATACAATATTGCTGAAATTAAATGAATATAACACAACACAATATTTACTGAATTAATGTTTGATTTTAGTAAATAAATTTTGCAAATATAATGTGTATTTAGCCTTGCCAATAATATTGGCCTTACACAAATTTTCAACCATTGAAATTCATTGGTCAAATTTTTTCACACAGTATGTACCTTGCTGGCTCCGCTTCTGAGATGTCTCCTTTGAAAGAGGCGTTTAGTCTTGTTTCTCTGGTAGCAAGATCGTCAACAAGGTTTTGTCTTCTGTCTGCTTCAGCTTGCATTCTGGCATTATTCATTAAGGCATTAAAATGACACATTTATGACTGCATAATTATGCTCATCTCGAAGAAAGATACGCTCAATCATTATAAACATCAATGACTTATGAACACAAGATTCACATTTTATTTCCTGTAGTGTTTAGGGCTAGTACTTCCAAATCCAATTGTGGATCACAAGCGGCATTACTGACCACGCTGCAATTGGTTTATTATAAAACACTGCCACCTACAGGTGCTCATGAGAAATCACAGTTTTTTTTATCATTGAGAAAATTTGTTTTGTTTTAGTATTTTTGCTCAGCCTCATGTCATTTTTTCAAAGGCTTAAAAGCAACGGTCAATACTTAAGCCACACTTTCAGAACTCTTCACACATTCAGTGACACAGAAACTATTTGTCACTGCTATAACACAAAATGCATTCAATGACCACATTTTCCAAAAATCCATGAACACTTTTTTCATTCATACTTCACCATCTGCAAAACACAATGTATTTGCAGCACATTTTTCAAATGCAAACACACTGCTTTCAAAACTGATAAAAGCATTTCAATTTAGCCGAATATTTACAATGAAATTTAATAATAATTTTTCCAAACACAACCAATTGCAATTTCAGCTGAAAGCCGACCCAGGTGTCCTATTTTTAGTCTCAATACAGTAGTAATTTTTTTTTTTTTTTTTGTCATCTTTTGGTAAATTGGGATGGCTTCAGAATGATTTTGTTTGGAAACATTGATCAAGGAAGTCACATCGGTGGGGCCAGAAGAGGGAGGACAAGAACCCTCACAGAACTGTACATCCATCCATCCATTCTAATATTTTCCAAACCGCTTGTCCTGTAGGGTCGTGGGGAGACTGGAGCCTTTCCCAGCGTCTCGGGTCAGAGGCAGGAAAACACCCTGGATAGATGGTCGGTCCATCACAGGGATGACACACTATCACCTACGAGCAAACTTACATCCTCTAATTCACCTGTCCTGTATGTCTTTGGATTGTGTGGGAAACCAACGTCAATACGGAAAGAATATACAAACTCCACACAGAAAGGCCTCCGGACACAGCTGCGTTTGTTGTTTTTGTTGTTTTGTTTTATTTTTTATTATTACTTCAGGATTATATTCTGTTGTTTCAAGTAAATTACTATATGTAAAGATATAGAGGGGAAAAAACGAATTGCTGCATTTCTCATTCATTCTTTATGCTGTAATACAGTCAGTAAAATGAAAAAATCGTCTCGGTTACGTATGTAACCTGAGTACAGGGAACCTGAGTACAGGGAACGGAGACGTGTCGTCGGGGAGTTCCCTGACGAATTGGGATCATGCTAGGGAGACCAATTGCCTTCGAGTGAATTAAAACGAGCCAATGAAAATTGGCATGCAAGATTTGCATTCTGCGACCCGCCTACCAACGCGGGTATAAAGGGCGGAAGTAAACATTGCGCAATGCTTTTCGCTGAGGAGCCGAACGGTGTCCAGTCCTCCGCAAAGGTACAGCAACATGGCGAAGGGACGACACGTCTCCGTTCCCTGTACTCAGGGAACGAGGGTTACATACGTAACCGAGACGTTCCCTTTCGTCCTGGGAACTCCAACGTGTCGTTGGGGAGTTCCCTGACGAATTGGGATCCCTAACAAAACGCCATGGTGCTGGCCCCTTCCAGCACCCAGCTAAGCTACCCTAAGCAGTTTCACAAATTACGGGAGCTAGCAAGGGAGTCAAACTGCTGTTCCGCAAGACCCACACAGTGGATTGGATAACACTGGGAAAGCGTGCCCAACCCGTAAAAGGGGGAAGGTAACGCTGCGGAAGCCAGATGCCTGAAGAAGGCCTGGAATACACATATGTACTAGCCCAGGGGGATAGTGAAACATATGGCAGTCCCTGAGGTAGTCCCATCCAAGGGGAGTGGGAGCGTACTCAACAGGGACGACAGAACGAGTCTGTCAAGGGGAAGACACGGCTGGACTGCACGTGGCATAATGGGTCACCGAAGAGACCACTGGACATAACACCCAGTCTACACAACAACTCCCTTAGAGGTAGTAGACCTGGCGCCGGCGGTCCGCCACGCCTGGCACCGAAGGGGTGATGGAGGAACTCACGAGGCTAACCAACGTAGGGCGCCAACGGAGCGAAAGACGCACGTATCCGGCTGAGGCACGGAGTGGCGTAGCAAGCCGACATAACCTATTGCCTCGCACCACTGGCCGTAGCGAGTACTCGGGAGGAAATAGGTTCCACACGTAGGCTATAGAATCTAGCGAACGTGTTCGGTGTCGCCCAGCCCGCAGCTCTACAAATGTCTGTCAGCGAGGCGCCTTGAGCCAACGCCCAGGAGGCGGCAACACCTCTCGTAGAGTGAGCACGCAACCTGGGAGGACAAGGCTCACCCATAGCTTCATACGCTAGGGTGATAGCATCCACTAACCAGTGAGCTAACCTCTGCTTGGAGAGGGCCTTCCCCTTCTGCTGGCCTCCGTAACAGACAAAGAGCTGATCTGAGGTCCTGAAGCTTTGCGTTTTGTCAGTGTGAACCCGCAGGGCGCGGACTGGACAGAAAAAAGCTAAGGCTGGGTCTGCCTCCTCCTGGGGCAGCGCTTGCAGGTTCACTACCTGATCCACGAAGGGAGTGGTAGGAACCTTGGGCACATATCCGGGCCGGGGTCTCAATATCACGCGACAAAGGCCCGGCCCGAACTCTAGGCACGATTCGTCGACCGAAAAAGCCTGCAGATCCCCGACCCTCTTAAAAGAGGCCAATGCCAACAGGAGCGCTGTCTTAATGGACAGGATATTCAGCTCCACTGTCAGCAAAGGCTCAAAGGGTGGACTTTGAAGAGCTCTCAGTACCAGAGCTAGGTCCCAAGAGGGTACAGAGTGCAAAACACGAGGTGGATTTAACCTCCTAGCACCCTTGAGGAATCTGATGATCAGGTCGTGCTTCCCCACGGACTTACCTTCTACTACATCGTGATGTGCGGCTATTGCGGCAACATACACTTTGAGGGTGGAGGGAGACAGCCTTCGCTCCAACCCATCTTGTAGGAAGGAAAGCACGACTCTGATCGGGCAAGTTCGGGGGTCCTCCTGGTGGGAGGAACACCACACGACGAATAGGTTCCACTTCAACGCATAGAGGTGCCTCGTAGAGGGGGCTCTAGCAGAAGTGATGGTGTTTACCACTGCCTGTGGTAGATCACCTAGAACCTCTGCGTCCCGTCCAGGGACCAGACATTGAGTTTCCAGAGGTCTGGACGCGGGTGCCATAGAGTGCCCCGTCTCTGAGAAAGGAGGTCCTTCCTCAGAGGAATCGGCCAAGGAGGGGCTGTCGTGAGGAGCATGAGATCCGTGAACCAAGTCCTGGTGGGCCAATACGACGCCACTAACAGGACCTGCTCCTCGTCCTCCCTGACCTTGCACAGTGTCTGTGCAAGAAGGCTCACTGGGGGAAACGCATACTTGCGCAGGCCCCGGGGCCAGCTGTGAGCCAGGGCGTCCGTGCCGAGGGTCCCCTCGGACAGGGAGTAAAACCACTGGCAATGGGTCGTGTCCGGAGAAGCAAACAGGTCTACCTGTGCGACTCCGAAAACACTCCAGATCAGCTGAACCGCCTGGGGATGGAGTCGCCATTCTCCTGGCAGGGGAGGCAACCGTGAAAGCTCGTCTGCCACACGGTTGAGCTCCCCTGGAACATGAGTGGCGCGAAGCGACCTCAGATGCTTCTGACTCCATATGAGGAGGTGGGAGGCGAGTCGCGACATGCGGCGGGAGCGTAAACCACCTTGTCGGTTGATGTACGCAACGGTCGCAGTGCTGTCCGTACGGACCAGTACGTGCTTGTCTTTGAGAAGCCCCTTGAGGCGGCACAAAGCCAAGCGTACTGCTTGCAACTCTAGGCAGTTGATATGCCAATGCAGCTGGGGCCCCGTCCACAGACCCGAGACTGCATGCCCTTTGTACTTGGCCCCCAGCCCCATGGCAGAGGCATCTGTGAAAACCACAGCATGCCTGGAAACCTGGACTAGGGGCACTCCGGCCCGTAGAAACGCAGGATCCGACCACGGGGAGAAGGTTTGGCGACAGTGCGGGGTTACTTTGACCCGGAACGTGCCGCTCTGCCACGCCCACCTCGGGACTCGATCGTGAAGCCAGTGCTGGAGCGGTCTCATATGTAACAGGCCGAGCGGCGTTACTGCGGCTGCCATATGCCCCAGGAGCCTCTGAAATTGTTTCAGTGGAACCGCTGTCCTGCCTCGAAAAGACCTGAGGCAGGTGAGCACTAACTGGACGCGCTCCTCCATGAGGCGCGCAGTCTGGGCGACCGAGTCCAACTCCATACCGAGATAAGAGATCCTCTGCACGGGGCAGAGTTTGCTCTTGTCCCAGTTGACCTGAAGCCCCAACCGGCTGAGGTGCTGGAGCACCATGTCCCTGTGATCGCACAACGCATCTCGCGAGTGAGCCAGAATGAGCCAGTCGTCGAGATAGTTGAGAATGCGAACGCCTTGTTCTCTCATGGGAACAATGGCCGCCTCCGCGACTTTCGTGAAGACGCGGGGCGACAGGGCCAGCCCGAAGGGTAGGACTTTGTACTGATACACGCTCGACCCTCGAAACCAAACCGTAGAAATGGTCTGTTTCGAGGAAGAATCGAGACGTGAAAGTACGCGTCCTTCAGGTCAATCGCTGCAAACCAATCCTGGGGACGGATGCATTCAAAAATGCGCTTCTGCGTGAGCATTTTGAACGGGAGTTTGTGCAGGGCCCGATTCAAAACTCGCAGGTCCAGGATTGGTCGTAACCCACCGCCTTTCTTTAGTACAATGAAGTAGGGGCTGTAAAACCCGGACCTCATCTCGGCAGGAGGGACCGGCTCGATCGCGTCCTTCGCCAGCAGGACATCGATCTCTTTCCGCAGGACAGGGGCATCCACTGACCGCACACGGGTGAAGTGGATGCCCCTAAACCTGGGAGGCCGGCGTGCAAACTGAATTGCATAGCCGAACCGAATGGTGCGGACGAGCCATCGAGACAGACCCGGAAGCGCTAGCCAGGCTTCCAGGTACCGAGCCAATAAGCCCACCCGAACCACCGGCGTACCCGCGGAGGGGCAGCGAGGTGGAAGGCCGGGACCCGGCTCCAGCGGCAATGTAGCCACTGGAAGCGGGGTCTGGGTGGTCCACCGTGGGGGAAGAGGGCAGAGAGAGCTCGTAGGCTTTCTGCAGCGGGCTGCCCGGTGGCGAAGGGAGGGGGAGAGACGAAGAACGAGGCCCTGCCTCCTCGTGTCCTGGTCTCTGCGCCTCCGGGCCCAGCTGCAGACCGGAGCGACGCAGCCGAGGCTGCGTCACTGCTATCTGCAAGCTGGGGAGAGGGGAACGGGAGTGGTGCAGCTCGGGGGCGGCACGCACTGCCATTCTGACCCTCTCGGACGGAGGAAACTGGTCTTATTATACTGCCAGTCTCGACCGTGAGGGGAAACGAGGAACGAAGCCCGGGGGCATCGAGTCCTGGTTTCCCCTCACCCAGCGAGAGACGAGAGTGACAAGGCCGCAGCCCTCACTGCCATCTGAGCGCTGGGGCTCGTGAACGACTCAGAGGAAGTGGACTGCTCAAACTTTGGGTACCGCTGATTACAGGATAACCAGCGGCGGAACAGAAATGAAATTCTCCACCCGGCCCTCCCCCGGGGGAAGGAGTGGTAATGACACGCACTCCCAAAGAGCAGAATGTCACATACTCTGGGTCGCTCCTCTCAGGGTTGTTTCCCTTCCCTTTGCTGGGGGAAAACAAACTCCGAGCGGGCTGGTTTTTCTGGACCACCACTGTGGACATCGTCTAACCGAGGGCCAGCGCTGTGACTAATCACGGTCAGTCACTAAGCACAGCTCAACCCCGAGTTAGAACTACGCACGTGCAGTGGTAGTGAGAGAGGAAAAACTTCTGCAGATTTAGGCATGTTTGGCTTGCCATTTTGGCACTAAAATGCTTCCATACTGCCAAAATTCTTCACACACATCCAGGCACTTTAGAACAGCCCAGGAAAGTGTGGCCGTTAAGTCTGAATCTTTAGCATGAGAACACACCATTATAGTAGGAACTCAGCATCATTTTCAGAGTATAACCGCCCTCTCTCCGATGTAGCGATCGACATCTGTCCTCCCTGGGGCCCCGAATGAAATGCCTGGTCCTTCATGAGAAGGACCAGAAACCCATTCGAAAGCCTCGACGGCACACGGGACGCTGAGCGGCCCCAGCCTTTACGAGAAAGGGGAGACGAACAACGTGCCGACGTGGTCATGCACTCCTGAGAGAACATGAACCACCCACGAACGCAGTCTCAACACACTGATTAGGCATGTGAAACCGTGATCGTGGCCGTCAACCAGGCATGCAAGATAGTGAACGTGGCCGTCGCTTCGATGACACACGGCACGCTGGACGCTGGACGCGGGTAGCGGAATGCAAATCTTGCATGCCAATTTTCATTGGCTCGTTTTAATTCACTCGAAGGCAATTGGTCTCCCTAGCGTGATCCCAATTCGTCAGGGAACTCCCCGACGACACGTTGGACTTCCCAGGACGAAAGGGAACTTATTATTTTGCTTTAATGAAATACTGATTTATGTAAAAAAAAAAAATTCTAGCCTAACTTTAAAGATAAAAGTTCATGATTTATGTAATGCTCGTTGATGTTAGTGTTTTTAGGTCAGTGTGTTATAAATGACATGTATGTTTTCTGAATGAGAATTGTTGGCAGTGTTATGGTGGAACGAGCTTATTGTGAGGCATATATGAAGAGTGAGTTTTGGAGGTGAGATTAACTGTTTGGCCAAGATTCATATTGGTAATGCAGACTGTACGAAGAGTTTTGAAAAAGTGGCTTCAGTACTGAACGATGCTTGTTAGCAATTGTATTCTTAATATTGTGGAACACAAAAGGGACATTTTGAAGATTTATTTACAGTTATGTGGTCACTATGAGCTCCTCTAAAACAACAAAAACAAAGATTGAGAACTTTTGTGACTGGATCATAAAGCGATGAACTCAAGAACTTGATTCATGAGCCATATCAACTGGTTCAATAAAAAGAAGAGGCTCCAACGAACAACATGTTCAGTAATTGGACTGATCCTGTTCTTCAGATACCAGCTCAGTGGAGTACAGGATAATCAGCTAATAATATATTCTGTTTGGCCTCATCAGGGTTAGATGACTTCAGAACCCTTGGAATATATTACATGTTAGGTTGTTTTTTCAGCCTTTTCGAGAGCTTAAAAGATGAGCTACTTTGCACTGCCTTTTGGAAAGGATGAGTGTGAAATTTGCATTTTGTCTTTCACAAAGAAAATGGGTTTGAATCCATTTTTGGATGAACTTTCATTTAAAGAATCTTCAAAACAAACACAACTAACTCTAAACAAACCATAATGAACAGATTCTAAATACGAGTATAATGCTGATATTTCATATTCTTCCAATATACTAAACTTTACCTTTCAAAATCTTTGGATTCCACTCTCAGGATTTGTGCATGAAATTAGTATGAATTCTACTGGAAAGGATACATCTGCCTTTGAACAGCAGCTCGATTCAACGTGTCCCTGAGCTGTGCTATATTCTGTTTGAGCTTCTGTAATGATGCTCTCAGGGTCATGTTCAGCTGTAGGGGCAGATACACAAGAAGAGAGACATTACAACATAAAGACCACTGACACAGAGTGCTCAACTTCATCCTATGAACAATGAAACCCTGTCTTTACCTTGGCTGGATTTCCTCCAGTTCTTTGCAGTCTGTTTCTTTCATGGATGTGTTCTGCAATTTCTTGAGCCATCCGGCAAGCTGCATCATAATTCTGTAACCTAAATAAAGGGAAACAAAACAAAAATGATGCTGATAGTAACAGGTCATAAAATGTGTGTTGCCAGTTATTTAATCATTGAATCAAGATTGTCGTCAACACAATCATGTGACATGGATCTCATCTAACCAGCCTGGCAACATTTCTACGCTTTTCTTTTTTCGCCGCGTAAAAAAAAACACACATATGTACACAAACACATAGTAATTAACTAAAGTATAGGATATAATGAGCCATAAAGGAAATTCAAACAGCTATTTTCAGTCTCAATTGATGTGGCTGCTACCCAGGTAGCAAACAGACGATGGCCCAACGTTGGCCCAACGTCTGTTGTTGTGTTGGGCCAACGTTGGGTGCTGACGTTGGCCCAACGTAATTTTGTCCGTTGGGCCAACGTTGGGCCAACCATGTCATTGGATGGCCAGCAGACCTTCTGCCAACCTAAAAGCCACTAAAACAACATTGGGCCAACGTTGGGCCAACCATGTCATTGGACGGCCAGCAGACCTTCTGCCAACCTAAAAATACCTTACCAACCTTCTGCCAACTTAAAAACAACTAAAACAACATTGGGCCAACGTTGGGCCAACCATGTCATTGGACAACCAGCAGACCTTCAAACAAATTTAAAAATATAGCCTATTTTAACCATCTGCCAACTTCATAAATAGTAAATGAATAAATAAATAGGCTTTACCTACCTTAAACTAAAATTTTAAGATTGTGCCATGCATGGCCTATTCAGTGTTGAATTGCATTAAGAGACGGCACAACAGACAAACTGAATTGTTTATAAAAAATGAACCTATTTATTGGTTAAAACATCTCCACAGTCCATTATATAGACATTTTATACAGATACATTCTGCAGATTTTCATTCTGGATTTGCAACGATGAGTCGATCGACAAAAAAGTAGAAAAAAAAACTACCCAAAGGCAGCGGCAAAAAAAGTAAAACATAAAGTCAAAGAAATCAACAAGGAACCAAAAAGTCACAAAAAAGGCGGCAAAGAAAATGCGGAAGAAGAGCAAAAAAAAAAAAAACCTGCTGAAAACTGAGAAAATGTGCAGATTCTCTTCCGTATTCTGCAGATTTGAAGCGAATTAGAGATTGTGTGTGGCTCTGATGATGAAGACGGAGCGGAGGAGGAGAAGTAGCAGCATACACTCCTGTAAAAAACAACAAACATACAAACAACTTTTTAGAACATTTAAGATGTGTCGTTCTATTTTAATTACACAACCCAAAACAGAAAAAAAAAGTTGGGGTGTTGTGTAAAATATACAAACAGCAAACAGAAAAGCAGAATGTGATCATTTGCGAAAAGGACATAGTCAACATATCAAACGTTGAAAATTACACATTTGACTCTTAGAACTTACCTCAAAATGCCCATTAAAATACCATAATTTTCTTTTCTGGTGCATTATGGATTTTAACCATTAATTTAGTGATTTAGTGTATGTTGTGTGTTTTTTTTTTTTGTGTGTTTTTTTAGACCTAAGGTATATATTGTGTAACTGAAAAAATATGGTGTTAGTAGTTGAGTGTATAGTTTTATGGGGGAACAGTAGTATGTATTTCCCACCTGCAAGAGATTTTCATCATGTTTGGGTAGCAAATTAATTATACATCTTAATGCAGTGTACGCTTAGTAAAGATGAAATACACCTCTGTTTAGTGGTGGGGTTAGACAGAGGAAGAAAAAACAATCATTGGAAGACACTTACATTCACTTTCACAGCTGCTGGAATCTGCTTGAGGGGGAGGCATCTGCTTTTCTGTGTTAAAGAAAAAATATAGTAATTATCAAAATGTAAATTACTTACAACTTATATATTAATATATATAATAATTAATAACATATTTGATCAGCCTTAAAAAGGCCTTGTGTACCTTTTTCTGTTGCTCTTTTTTTTCTTCCTCCATTTCGGTCTCCACTATACTTCAGCCAGGTTTTTATTTTTTCCTCGGCTTCCACCACTTTTGCTCCTTGTTTTTTGGCTGCATCTGTCAGCATGAAATTAAAGAAAATTAAACAGAGAAAGGGTAAGCAGAAAGATCATATCTGACTGAGGTGTATTTTGTAGAGTTCTGTATGATTAGTGGATTAATTGGCATTCTTTCATTTACTTGCATTGTATTTCATTCAATGACACATTATGTGAAACTGTAAGGGGTTGTTTCCTCTTTTGCTATTTCAAAGTTTATGTCTAAGTTTTGAATAATTTTTAAAACATATCACCTATGACAACTTTTGCTAGCAATATTATTATATTATTTCACAATATTATTGTTTTTAATGCTGTCTTGGTGAACATAAGAAACTTCTTTAAAAACATTAAAATTTGTACCAACACAATTAGTGTATGTTTGACATTAGTGTATGTTTGAAGTTTTATTTACTAGTCAAATGGTTCATAGCGTCTTAGAGATGATGATCCGGGGCCGTATTCACAAAGAATTTTAAGGCTAAAAGTAGCTCCTAACTGGCGAATTTAGGAGCAACTCCTAAAAATAATGGGCGTGTCACTCCTAACTTTAGGACTCCTAATTTTTTTCACTAAGAGTAATTCACGAAGCATTTTAGCCCTAAAAGTAGCACCTAAGTCTGGGACAGCTTAAAAGAAGTCGAGAGGACTCCTAACTCACTAAGACCTATTCACAAAGGATTGTAGCGCACACCACCGCCTCTCGCAGTCGTCCGGGATCCGCGACACAAGCGGGAAATTCTGCATCGATCTGCGAACAAATCCTCTCCCATTCTCACGCTTAGTTTTGCTTGATATCCCAGTGCCGAATTTCACTTGTATCATTATTACTTTTTTTGAGCACCAAGCCACCAACTGGGCCAGCAGCAGTAACTGATCCTGCGTCCAGTTGGGCTTTCTTTTAAGTTTTGGCAAGTTCATAATCCACCGTAAATCAACTATTACATTACTTCAATAGGAGCAACATTTCCTTGCTTTAAGTTTATTTTTCTATTTAGGCTAATAGGATGTCAATTAACCAAGCAAGTGTTAATGCAAGTGTAGTTTTTTCATTATTAGGCAAGTGGCGGTTTTCATTAGGGTATTACCTTGATTTAATTGAATTCACGACTTTTCTCTCTCTCTCTCTGCCTTTTTAGAATTACACTTCACTGGGGCCTGCACAAACATGTCATTATATATGCATTTCGATGTCATTATTATTATTATTTTGTGTAGGACACAGACATATTTAGATGTCGTAATTCCATGATTTGTTGCGTCTGTGTTATGCTCCGCATGATGGCCCTGTCATCTAACAACCAATCACCATGATCATTGCGAGGAAGCTCGTGCATGAGAAGTGACGTCATCTATAGCAACGAAGACTCACTCTTAGGCCCCGTCCACACTACTGCGTTTTCGTTTAAAAACGGAGACCTTTTGCTACGTTTGCACCTCCCGTCCACACTAAAACGGCAAAAACGGAGACCCAAAACGGAGAAGTTTAGAAACGCTGCCGATCCGTTTTTCGTTTTGAATCTCCGGAGGGCGTTTTAGTGTAGACGGGTCAAAACGGAGGACTTTAGAAACGATGACGTAGTAGAGGCTCACGCTCGGCTCTATGATTGGGTGTCATCAGTCATGGCGTATATCTTTGCTAGCAGCTGTTGTACAAGTAAATTCTGCATTTTACAACGCTATAACTGCCTACATGCGCCGGAGTCAAGCTATTATTCGAGCGATCTGTGATAATTCCCGTGTGCAGCGGTGGCGTTGACCGTACATGGAGCGTCGGTTTGGGGTTAACCCAGAGCAATTTTATCAATGAAGTTGTGTTTACACCGGCACGCGCATGCCCAGTGTTGGTGAATGGTCACGTGATCCGCGTTTTCAGTCGTTTTAATGTGGACGGAGATCAATTCTAATACGCAGCTAAAACGCTGGTGTGGACGGAGATCGTATTCGTTTTAATTCTCCGTTTCTAAACTAAAACGCAGTAGTGTGGATGGGGCCTTAGTTTAGGAGTTGTCATTTTTCCTTACTAAGAGTAGGTCTGAAAGGCGTTGTGAATAACTTTTAAGAGAAAACTCCTAGCTAAAATATTTGAGTGCGATTTAGGAGTACTCCTAGTGGTAAGACAAAATTCTTTGTGAATACGGCCCCAGGACAACAACTCATCTGCTACGGTGCAGGGCATCAACATTGAAGGATCTAGGAACCATTTGTCACAGAGCCAACAATATTATTATACAATGCCAGGTTTATTAAAAGGAAAGAAATTACAGCAGAGGGGAAATGCAGAAAAGAGAAAGAATATAAAGAAAATATTTTTTTTAATTAGGATAACAGGATAAATTAGGATAAATGTGTTTTTAGGTTTGCTAATCATTTAATATTGCTCATACAGTGTCACTTACCTGTGGATGTCAAAACCTTCTTAAAATAAATTAAAAATGTAAATTTGAGAAATTAAAAAAAGAAAAGAAAATGACAGATGCGTGATATAGGCTAGGTGAAAAATATTGTGACAAAATGGATATGAAGTTATGTAATGAGCTTCCTCGGTTCACCTGTGTTTTCTACATCTCTGGCAGCAGCTGTCTTCAGAAATGTTGAGCTCGTGGAGCTTTCCCTGTTTTAGAGGGGTTATTTTGTTGCTGCTGAAATCACAGAACATTTTTTTTATCAATATTTGTTTACCATTGCGCAGCTCCATGTAAGTGACGTCACCGATTAAAAGTACACACGTTTATGTTAAATAAATTAGCTCACTTCCAAGTAAAATCTTTACAAAAACTCTCATCTACACATAAGAGGTGATTAAAATCCCAAACTTTCATAAACAAACGCTCAACCGAGTTAAAAAGTTAAGTTAGCTTAATTTAACGTTAGCTGCTAACGTTACCTCTTCTGAAAACGTTGAGATGCTAACGGACTTTTTCCGAAGACACTAAACCATGTCTATAAAGTAAATATTCAACAGAAGCGTGTCAATTACAAGTAAGAGAAGTGTCAAGAACAGTTGTGTGTATTATTCGTGTGATTTTAGAGACTAATCTCACCTGAAAGCAGTGAAAACAACAGCGAGAAGAGACAGTTTTGCTGCTTGTCAGTCGCAGTGGTCCCGCGCCGTTTCCATGGCACTCTGCGCCGCTCCAGTAGTGTTTGAAAGCGACTCGAAAGTTCACGCGCACGGCCATTCATTGATTAAACCACGTTAAAAGCATAGGTAAAAAGCATGCAGCATTTACAAATATAAACATCTAGAATTAGAACATTACTTAAATAAAAATCTCATAAATATTAAATTACGAATTCAAAACTAATTTTGGAGATCTATGATCCGTTCATAGGTGCAATCGCATTACATTTAATGGCCTATGCCCACACATAATATAACAAACGCAGTCACAATAATAAAAAAAAAAAAAAAAAAAACTTTTGACATTAGTCAATAGTTATTTTTGCTAAAGCCTAGCCTACTCCTGGTAAGTGTAAATTGCTTTTACCCCTAGCTTAAAGTAAAAAGATGTCTGTGAAAAATAGTAGTATAATTTAATTAAATGCATTTATGGTAGGCCTATGGTTGGAAACAACGTCATAAAAAGGAGCCAGACACTCTTTTCCCCATGTTTACTGGGAAGAATGGTAAAACATGAAATGCTGCATGCTTCTATTTGAGGGAAGTGTGGGCCATTGCAGCTGACCATGCCAATGTTGGCCCAACGTTGTATTTCGGGCGTATAGGTTGGGCCATCGCAGCTGACCATGCCAATGTTGGCCCAACGTTGTATTTCGGTCGTATAGGTTGGGCCAACGTAACCAACCGATATTGACGTTGGCCCAACGTCTGTTTGCTACCTGGGTACAGATCCACTGAACTAAACAGCAAATTGAGTTTTCCGCACTATACTGTACTGAACTGTTACGACCTCAGATGTCAATAAACGATAACAATATAAAATGCTTACCAGAAATCCTGTGACATATTGCGGCACTTTTGTTTCAGTTATAACCAGCGTTTCTGTAGAAAATAAGAAAATCACATCAACAACCTGCGTTGTGTTAGTTCCTGTTTGGGCATGACGTCAGACGGTGGCCTCCTACAGACATAATTCATTCGATACTTCAAATCTGGGACAATCATTACAACGTTTGAGAGAGAATAGAAAAGAAAGAAGGAGATAAAATTACAAATGATCTTAACAGGTGACTTAATGTTGCTAGAACCACTGTTGGACATATGTGCCATTATAAATCCTATGCATTCCAATGATTTGAAACATGTGTTAGTTCTTGATAATCTAGAATTATAAATATTTGAAAGAGGTAGTATTCTCAATAATATAGATTTGTGACTAACAAAATAAAGTTGAGGTTTTAATTCAGCTCAGTTCGTGTTTCTTTCATTAATCCCGATAGTGTGCATATTCACAAATTAATAAAGAGTTGTAAAACCAGTGATGATACCAGTGATTCTCATTAACCTATATATTATCATCTTTGAAAGTCTTAGTTGTGTGTGCGTGTGTGTTCAAAATCATGTTTGATGTTTTACAAGTTGCGTATGATGCAATGAGTGCATTAATATAAGCTAGCATGAGAGTATTTATTTTCAATATTCAACAGCAGCAGTAAATAAATACACGATTAAAAATCATGTTTTGTGTTTTGCAAGTTGTGTATGATGCAAGATGTTAATAATGTACACATGTAAGCAAAGCTAGCATGCGCATTTTGAGACACATAATATAAGCAGCAGCACTAGGAGGAAGACAACTTTTCTGTAAGGTTACCGGCAAGTATTACTTGCTGTTTTAAGTGAAATTATGTATTTTTCTATGAAGGATTACATGTCAGCATGTAGTTTTCTGTTTGTCTCATGACCATACTTTTGAATTTAAAAGTGGTTATACCAGCAGTCCGAATACTCTGTGTGGAGCAGGAACATCGATCCCTCGAGGACCACACAGGTGACTTTTTAGATCTGACATGCCTGAAGCATTTTAGCATTTTAGCATCCCTAGTCTGTGGCTGAGGTATTTGAACAGAGCTGGGTAAATGAATTATGTATCGCTGCCTTCAGCTTCTCAGCTCCCCCAGTGGTTCCGCTATATGCTGCACGGATCCACCAGGGGCTTCCTAGCCATCAGCCCCGCGTTAGCATGGATCCCTCAGCTCCCCCTCAAGCCTCCACGCCCCGGATTCCACCTCAGCCCTCCGACCTATCGGCTCCACCTTGGATCAACACTCTCTTGGCTCTACCATGGACTCCCTCATCCCTCCGGCTTCACCTTGGTGCATCGTCTTCTCCACCTCGGATTTCTGGGTCGGCGGCTGCGCCTCGACCCTTCACCGCTCTAGCTACAACTGGCTCCTCATTCCCTTCAGTTCCTCCATTGTCCTCACCAGCACCATCTCAGCCCTGGTCTGCAATCCCTACACCTCGGTTGATGGATAAATCAGTCTCTCTAAATCCCTCCTTTCCGAGAGCCTGCTCTGCTCTGATTGGCCAGATGGCCCAGTCTGTTGTGATTGGTCTACCGTGTACAGCGTCTGTCGGAAGCTACACGCCTGTTACCATAACTGGACGTCAGCTCTGTCTGGAGGCTTCCTACAGGTCAGCGATTGAACTGTAAAGACAGTAATCATGACATTGATTTTACCATATCAATCTGAGCGTGAGTCCGATGATGAAACATTGGAAGAACTAGTCATTCAAACCGAACCTCCATCGCAAGGACGACTCAATCAGGATTTTTCTCACATGCTACTCAGTTTGAGGCACATTATAGATGTTTCAACTGTAATTCCTCACTATCAGCATTAAAGCTGCAGTAGGGAGTTTTGAGAAAACGTTGACTTAGCATGAAAATTTGAACAAGCACAACTTACAGGTCCCACCCCCTTGCTCTCTGCTGCGCTACAGCTCCTCCCCCACAGCGGAGCCTGCCGTGAACGCGCAGGCTAGTAAGCAGGGCCACCGATGACGGCGGATAAACAGTTATGGCACATTCACTAGTAGGGAAGAAACATCAACAATATGCTTTACATTGACTAAGGCCTGCCCATACTTTGACTGCAAACTTGGTCCTCAAATCATTACGTATTTTGCAATACATGTAATGTAACTTTATAACGTTGCACCATTTCTATAAGTTATAAATAGCTATAAGATAATATAACGGTAACTAACGTAACTGTATGTAAGTAATTATTCTAGCGATGTGTAGGCCTAATGCTATAAGGTTTGCTAGTACATTTGTAACGGGGTTCAGTTGTTATGGGAAGAAGGAGGCGGGAACCGGCAAACAGTCAACAAGTTTAATAATAAATAAACAAATACAAAATGAAAGTATAAGCCAGCAGCCCCTCACGGACAACTGCTGGCACACAAAACAGAACATAAAATCACAACGTAAAATCAGGCCTGTTCCTCTCTCCACTGTCGTCGCTCCTCCTTTATGCTTCCGCTCCTCCGTGAGAGATGCTTGCGCCGCTCTCACGTCCCTCGGCCCCATCCTGCTCGCCACAACATTATTTCAGCAACATGACAAGCCAGTGAATTAGCAGGTTTCAATTGTTGCTTTGCACAGTGCGTGACATTTTATCTACATGTTACGCGGCTAGTGTTTTGACACCGAGTCAATGGGCTCTGTCTAATTCTTTATTTTTCGCTTGTTTATCGTCATCGGTCTTTTTCCTTTTACCCGTCTTTGTTTTATGACCAGGTGCCACTCAAGAAATTGGCAGTTTAGGTTCTTTCTCTGCCATTAGCACAGCTGCGGCACACCGGCAATCTTGAGTTTGGTTTGAACGACGGTACGCGCTGTGCAAGAGAGGGGTGTGATCAGCGCGTACACGAGCGTGATTGACAATGCTAAGACATTCCTCCTGGCTCTGATTGGTTGTTTCTGACGGGGAGCGGTGTATTTCTGCAAATGGCAATAGGACCACTGGGAGGAGCCAGAGGAGCTTGATTTTTTCACAGATTATCTGTCTCATATTCTACTGTCAGGACATAATGACAGTTTTAACAAATATGTAAACAATATTTTTTTACAAAAGTTACCTACAGCAGCTTTCATTTGATTTATGTGGAGTTCTCTGACTGTGCACTCACTTTTAATATGAAGCAGCACAATGTTTATAAGATAAACCTTAAAGGGTTAGTTCACCCAAAAATGAAAATTCTGTCAGTAATTACTCACCCTCATGTTGTCCAAACCCCGTAAGACCTTCGTTCATCTTCGGAACACGAATTAAGATATTTTTGATGAAATCTGAGAGCTGGATCACTCCTCCATAGGCTTCTTCAGGGATTGAACTTGCCGGCCTCGAAAAGTTATTAAAGACATTGTTAAAATAGTCCAAGTGACTACAGTGGCTCAATCTTAAGTTTATCAAGCGACGAGAATACTTTTTGTGCGCAAAAACAAACAAAAATAACGACTTTATTTCAACTATTCATGTCCATCTCCTTGGGCCTCGAGTCAGTTCACTAGTGTAATAGCGTAAGCTTCTGTTGTTGTACGTCACACGCATCACGCACATGACCAGCGTCGGCCAATAGTGAGCCTACGTGTGATGTAGCTCTACGGAATCACACTACGTTAACTGAGTAGAGGCCCAAAGAGAAGGACATGACTAGTTGAAATAAAGTCGTTATTTTTGTTTGTTTTTGCGCACAAAAAGTATTCTCGTCGCTTGATAAACTTAAGATTGAGCCACTGTAGTCACTTGGACTATTTTAACGATGTCTTTAATAACTTTTCGAGGCCGGCAAGTTCAATCCCTGAAGAAGCCTATGGACTAATATGGAGGAGTGATCCAGCTGTCACATTTCATCAAAAATATCTTAATTCGTGTTCCGAAAGATGAACGAAGGTCTTACGGGGTTGGAACAACATGAGGGTGAGTAAATACTGACAGACTTTTCATTTTTGGGTGAACTAACCCTTTAACCGAAGTGTGTTAACCTGTAATTCTAACAAAAATAACAGGTTTAGCATCTTATTTAATTATATTGGCCCCCATTTTGAGCCTCAACAATTTGTTTAACATCCAAACATACGTATGTTTGAATAAATAACAGTGTGTTGAAAACAAGAAGCGCTGACTTTTTGAATTTCCTGGAAAAGAGCTCATTAGAATGTTTCTGGTATCAACATTCTGTGACACTTCAAGAAGAGGAGAAGATTTCCTCTATGTTTCCAAACACAGGAGTTAGAGAGTAAAGCTTTCATACAGAGGTGTTGTAACACCCTTTGAGAACTTTCTGCCTCTTGATGATTGTCAATGCTGTACTCAAAATGTTTGTTTTTTTAAATAAATAGAAATAAAAAGTAATATTTTCAACCATATATCTGTCATACATTAATATGCATTTGATCCTGTATCATCATGGCTTCTGCTACACAAAAATATATGACTGGAAAAACATGTTAAATAATTTTATAAGAATAAATCCAACATACAAAATTAAGTTGTATCCATTCACTGTATAAACTTATCAAAGTTATATAAGCTTGATTTTTTTTAGTTAGTTATTACAGTGTGTATATCTTTATTTATATGTTGTATTAAATTAGACACCATTGCTTTATGTCATATATTTTTTATTAAGTGTTTATACTCAAGTGTTCACAGTTGATTGCTAAACGCAAAAAATAACAGAGGACGTCTGACATTTTCCACTGTGTATTAGTATTACAACCACCTGAACAGATCACCTGACTGTCACATCATCGGAACAAAACCCAGGTGTCTCAGGGCATTACAAAGAGAACAACAAACCTACTGTGAACTTACCTTTCAAAGTCTTTGTTATGTGAACTGGTGAGGCCATGATAAAGGTTACTTCAAATGTTGCATGTGCCCATTTTGGCTCTACAAATGTGAATGTCCAGAATGTGGAGAGTGGCAGTAATGCACAGTTTGCAGACCGGACAAATTCTGGCAGACTACGCTCTCGATCTCTTTGCAGCTCTGACGAAGCAAAACACTCAACGGGAGAGGCTGACAAGGACAGAAGCCACATTAGACCTCGTTCAAGATCTTTTTATGCTTGTGACACAGATGATGAGGGACCAGGTCATTTTAGCAGAAGTAATGCTATCAGACCAAGAGCAAGATCACTACACCGTGAGGATGGGAAAAGAAACACTGGTGGGACATGTATCTCTGCAAAGCCTCCAATCAAAAGACCAAAAGGACACTCAAGCAGATGGGCCAAAAAGGATCTTACAGGTGCGTAAGTGAGATATTTTTACCTTTTAAAAAAAATGAAGAAAAAAGTGACATTTAAAGCACTTGATGTTACATTTAAAGCACAAATGCCAGCATTGATAAAATCAAAAATAATCACAAATTATAACACATCTGTGTACAATTCATTTAATTTCCAATTCATTTAGCCCTGAAATACAAAAATGAACTTTATATACCCAAATAATGCGTATATGGTTAAAATATGATCCGGGTGAAAAGTAGGAGCATTTTTTAATTATTATTGTAATGATACTTTATTAATACTACATTTTTTAAAAAGTTAATTTAGGCATCACAACTTACTAACTACTATAAAGCACAGGGAGATATTCATTTTGGGATTTGTGGAATTAATTATTAAATTATTAGTTTTTAACTGAGTATCTGAAAATAAAAATTGGAGAAATGAACAATGAAATGACCATGCACATTGGAAAATCCAATATAGTGACAGTTATAATCCAACTACATTAATTCTACATGATAAAATAATAAGTACACAAGCTCATAGACATTTCAAATGAGAAATTTCTATAGTGTCAGATGACAAGACACATCATGTAAAAATTATTTGATAATTACCAGGTCGTTTTTGATCTTTGAACATATTTACATTTGGGTTGAATTTTCTATATGGTTTGTAACATCAAATCTAATATCACTATTATTAAATTCGTAGTGCAGTAGGTTTTTTTTTATTTTTTTATTTTTACTCTGAGCAATTGCTACTTTAAAGGTGCAATGTGTAACATTTCTGAGTATCTATTAACAGAAATGCAATATGACATCCATAACTATGTGTTCAGTGGTGTATAAAGAACTTACTTAATAAACCGTAATGTTTTTATTACCTTAGAATGAGGCATTTATATCTACATAGGCGCGGGAATCCCCTTCTATGAAGGTCGCCATATTGTGACGTCATGTTTCTACCGTAGCCGACAGCGAACAAACAGCGCTACAGAGCGCGTTTCGTCACTACCTTGAAAGAGAAGCCGCAGGAAGCTAGAAGAAGCTAGTCATAAACACCGTGAGTAGTGACTTTTCCCTTGTCAGTGGTGTAAATATGTAGTTGGATTGTTTCATGTAACTTAATTCTTCTCCCTCGCTGTGTTATGGCTTTGCTATGTGGGGATATATGTGCTGGTTAAGTTCGTGAGACAGCTGATTAGTAGGCTACTCTTGTCATTGACCGTAAAACAGTTACAGGAATCACCAACCCGTCGATCTTGGAAGCATTTTAAGTCGATCGAGTTTCCAAAATCAGAGAAAAAAAGCCTATTGTGTGTGTAGTAAGTGTGTCTAGGGGATGCGGAGGCGCGCGCGCTGTTACAATCACGTCATTTTTGCCGCACGCACCTTTGGGCTCATGCGGACGCGTCGAGTTTAAACAAGGCTTAACCAGCTCAGCCACAGTAACAGCTCATATTTAGCCAGCTAAACTTTTACTACCCTGTTAGAAAAAATATATAGTTGCATAGTTTCATGTGGTTCTTCTCCCTCGCTGTATTATGGGTTTGCTATGGGGAGAATGTGCTGGTCACGTTCGTGAGACAATCAGCTGATTACTATTATTATATTATGTATTTAGACCCTTGATCCTCACCTGAAACTTTATCCATGATGTGGTTTATAATGGACTGTGGTACAGAAACTTGGTTTACGCTGGCTATTCTCTGCTGTCTCAGACGACAATGTTTGTCCCGTTTTAGCCACCGTAGCTTCTTCGAAAGGGAGGGGTGAGCGGTGGGCTGAGCCCTTAGTGTAAACTCGCAACCGAACCGCTAGATGTCGCTAAAAGTCACACACTGCACCTTTAATATATCAAAGATAGTGTCACAGCTGATTCTGAAACATGCTTCATTTAAACAGGAAATAAAGGAAGTTTAAAGGGTGTACCCATGATGACCATTTCTGAGGTAGATAACTGGGAGATAAGCTCTTCTGCCAGGATGAAATATGGTCAGTATGTAGACTGGGAAAAGATTGATCCAGAAGCGGCCATCCGTTATCGGAAGATCCTCTTGAGTGACCATTATGAGCTCAAAGCAATGGGCCGTACAGGATTCTGGTCCATGCCTCATACTCTCAGAGCCAAGGCTTACCAACACATCATCCACAACATCGAGAGCACATCCACCAACACTGATGTGGACACTTATCATGCCCTAGTCGGGAAGCTCTTTGGGGAATTTCAAACAAGCACACACCCTTTCCCAAAGTTTATGGAGGATGGGGAAATCCCCAGATACTGCCTAAATAAAGCAGGTCTTAATTCAGTGAAAAAAATTCTCATCTGTATAAATCACCATTTTCCTGATGTCACCTTCTGTCCCATCCTGTCCGCTCTGGTGTCCCTTCTCTTGCACTTCAGTGAGGATGAAGCCCAGTGTTTTCACAGTATGTGTTCCCTGGTGACCTACACAGACTCTAAAAAGCGTTACATTGACCAGACTTTCCTCACTTCACGTGCTTCGTGCATGACCTTTGGTGACCTTGCCAATAAATACTGCAGAGGCATCCGGAAGCTAATAGCCAGCTCTCACCAGAACCTGTTCGAGTTCTACTCTGACTGGATCATGTGGATCTTTGCCGATCTACCTTTTGCATACGCTATCAGAGTTCTGGATGTCTATCTAATGGAGGGCTACAAAGTTTTATACCGTGTAGCTCTTGCTCTACTCAGCCTTTACAAAGTCTCTGTGTCCTCACGAGTGGCCCACGTCGATGACTTCAGACAAGACATGAAGAGTTTTGTGGAGAACGTGGCACGGCACAGTACGATTGACGCACTGCTTCAGAGGGCTTTTAAAATACAGCTGCCCACACGCAACCAACTAACTTATCTTTTCAATGCCAACAAGCACGCACTAATTCATAAGGACATCCACAATAAGAGGTGAGGGGTTTATGAGGTCAATAAAAATATATATATTTTAAGAATTTCAGAATTCCTATTACATATGAAACTCTGTTTGTATCTCCTAGTTCATATCAAGCTATGGATTTCCAGAACTTCAGCTCCTCTGTAGTGACTGAAACCGAGATGAGGGTGGTCTGGGCTTGGATTCCAGAGCGATTCGCTCTATTCAATCCTGTGCAGCTATTCAGTACAAATGCTCATGGCAGAAGTCTCTCCTTGTATGTAATTTCTACACAGACACACTCACATGAATCATTCCATGAAAATAACCGAATATGGAATATGAGAATATGGTTTAATCGCATAAAATCATGTTTTTAGAAATGCTTAAAATACATTTAAACTAAACTAAAAAAAAAAAAAAAACCATCAAACTACAAACATCATCATCATTATTATTGACAATTTAAATAGTAGTTATATTCATTTTTAGATTTATTATATTTTGCATTTCATGTTTCTTAGTTTTTTGTTTTGTTTTTAGCAAGTGGTTGAAATCCATTAAAAACAACCCATGACCCATAATATAAAAACATTAATTTAATCATAATTAATTATTATAAATATCAATGAAAAATATTAAATGATATTAAATATTGTTTTTCAAATGCATAAACCTCGAAATATGTCTTTTTTTGAAAATAGGTTTTATTCCAAAGTTGAGGGGCATGATCCAACCGTTTTACTCTTGAAAACTGCAGATGAAGAGGTATGTCTGTATTCATCTGTACACTTTTAAGAAAAATGGTTCAAAACAGAGCCAGACAGTATTCTTCAGCTTGTAGCAATGCCAGAAGCCTTTATGGTGCTAAATAGAACATTTTTTATAAGATTCCATAAAGAACCATGCTTTGAAAGTGCTATATACAGTAGAACATTAACTGTGTTACAAATAACCTCTTTAATAATAGTTTATTTTCATTAATATTATTCATGTTATATATTATTTATTAGCATTATGAGTGTTTCCCTTCATCTGTCTGGTCTTATAATGATAAATTAAAAATGTACAAATAATAAATGGTAATTGACAGTGAACATGAATAAAAACAAATAAAACACACAAAAAAGAAACACAAAATAAATGTAATGAAGATCCAATGAAATGTCTTCACAATCCTCAATGAGGTTTTTACATCTAGTTATGTGTGCATTTTGATGTTATTGAGTGTTAGTTTCTCTCAGATTCTATAAGACCCCACAATGTCAACATCTGCTGTCTGGGTTAAAAGGATAAGTTGAAAAAAAGTAATGTGATAGCTTTAACGTTTTTTTGCGAGTGGGCATGTTTATTCATAAACACAAGTAATAATGAAAACTATTGATATGGATCATACATTCAATATCTTTGTCACTTACTGCTTAATGAAAAAGAGCAGAAAAAAAAGAAAGAAAAAAAGAAGAGGAAGAAAGAAAAGAGAAAATTAGACATGATTAGTAGTTACAGTTTGAGGGTTAAAATGAATAGACATTTTTAAAAGGACATCAAGTATCTTTTAAGAGTGTGTCATGACCAATGTTGGGGGTCACACATTACAAGTAACTACTCGGTTACTATCGTAACCTCAGTTCCCTGAGATAGGGAACGAGTATTGCGTAGCTATACGCAGTGGGGAAACTCCTTTTCCTCGATTTACTGAAGCCTATATGTAAAACGCATTTGCAGCTGCACAGCTAGCACACTGAGCGTCTGACCCGCTCATAGGCTGTGCTGCAGCAACTGCACATCCAATGGCGCGGGCGAATCTGACGCACGACCAATGAGCTAGCCCAACGTCAGAGCCCGTCGAGGGGGCGTGGCCCAGCCTATATAGACCCCCGAATTCGCCATTATAGCAGGTTTATACGACTGAAGCGACAACTTCACTAGTTACCATAGTGTGGCCGGCTACGCAATACTCGTTCCCTATCTCAGGGAACTGAGGTTACGATAGTAACCGAGTAGTTCCCTTTCGAATGGTCACTTCGTATTGCGTAGCTATACGCAGTGGGGACACCATGCAAAACGCCGCACCCTGAGTAACTGGTTGCCCTGCCACTCAGGACCCCTGAGCTAACAGAACAAGCCAGAACCCAATAACATATGCATATACATGTATATATAACAGACCAGACACAGTCGGGTCTGAATAATATATATATAAGTCAGTAACAACTAACAGAATATACTAACAAAACCAGACACCGTCGGGATTATTAGTATAACCTTACTACCGGCCGAAGTGGGTTTATATAATATGTATGTGATTATGCACAGTAATTTTTGTAGATAAGACCAGCCACTGTCAGGTCTCAATCATACCGAAAGCACCTTCGCCTGAAGGGAAGGTACCTCCATATTATAGAACTTCATAAATGTGGAAGGCGAGGACCAGCCGGCCGCATCAAAAATATCTTGAATGGGAAAACCAGATGACCAAGCCCACGACGAGGCCATACCTCTGGTCGAATGGGCCTTGACACCTATGGGGCAAACCTGACCCACTGCGGTGTAAGCCAAAGAGATGGCATCCACTATCCATCTAGACCATAGGTTCTCAAAGTGCGGCCCGCGGGCCAATGGCGGCCCGCCGAAACATTTCTGGCGGCCCGCGATAACATCTGTAAAACTGTTAAAACTATTTGCTTTGAAAAAATGAATATCTCCGTTTAGTGGTGTTTAGCGGCATCCATAGGCATAAGCGGTAATTACATGGTCCGACCGACCGATCGCACTTGACCTCACTCCCAAGGCCACCAGGAACAGTGGTTGTCTACACAGGAATAGGAATCGTGGCCAACCGAAACCAGCACCACAAATCCCATTACAATTTAAAAGGGTATGTTAACCAAGTAATCAATATTCAATGTGACTTAATAATAATCTTAACAATGTCAAGCTTATTAATAGCCGCGTTTCCATTACCTTTCAAAATGTTCGCGGGCGCGAACACTTGCATTTTCCTATCAACAGTGGAAACAACTTAAACTAGTCTATCATTTCTGGTCATACAGAAAATAATAATGCATTATTCACAACTACTTTTATTTGTGTAAACTCATAACAAGAAAACGTGCTTTTGTAAAATAAAATAAAACAATCAGTAGCGGCTACTACGCGCTTTCATGATCTCCGTGAACTGGAGCGCGAGAACTGAAACAAAATATAGCCTATGTAGGCTAAAGCTTAAAATGTGCACTTTTAAACAAACAAACTCGAATCGAAAGCAAATACCTGATTATGTAATCCGTATGAAAGGTGGATTTCTCTTTAAAAGCGCATCTGCTTAACAGCGGAGATGGAGATATGTTTTTAGCCGACACTTAGAAAACAATAGTTTATTAATAAACAATTAAAATGCCTCGCTGTTTTTTCAGACACATTTATTATCATTATCCTATAACTCAAATCAGGCTAGATCAGACACGTACAGGCTATATGGCTCTTCTCATTCATCACTGCGGGAAAAATATAAATTCCAGGTTCTAATTTGGCCTTAGAAAACCAGTAAAATCGACATGTTTTCCATATTAATTTGTGAATATTTAAAATGTTTAATAAAGGGGCAAAAAGTAATTTAAACAAAAATCTGAAAAAGTCTGTCGATATTTAGGCCTACTTTTTTTGCGCAGCAGTTGGTGAAGCCAGTTCAAATTAAAATTTTGTTCAACTTTGCGTTTTAAAAAGACAACAACCGTTCATTTTTCGTTTTTCAGTTACGGGTTAAAAAAGATAGATAATAATATGCAAATCTGCAATAATGGAAACGCGACTGACAAGCAATGATAGAAATGAATGATGATGATGACTTGTTTGGTAAGCTTCTATTTTAAAAGTTTCTTTCTCTCCCCCCCAAAATTTTCACAAGTTTTGCCAGGTTTAGCCTCAGTTATGAATTAAAATGTGTTTATTGCAACTAATGTAAACTGTAGAGATGCAACCTGGTCATTAAAATAACTTCAAATGGGATTTTCTTTTCAGTCTTTTTTTCTTCGTTTTCTCCCCCGCCACTTTGGCGGCCCTCAGTTCAATGTTGGGTTCCTAAATTGGCCCTCACCTATCAAAACTTTGAGAACCCCTGATCTAGACAGTCTTTGTTTAGTGACTGGATCACCCTTAGATCGGCCCCCAAAGCAGACAAACAGCTGTTCTGATTGTCTAAAAGACGCAGAACGCTCCAAATAGATTCTCAACGCCCTGACAGGGCAGAGAAGATTAACCTCCCCATCCTCGGCAGAAGGGGGAAGGGCTAATAGCGTAATAACTTGTGCTCTAAATGGCGTTGAGAGCACCTTGGGTACATAACCATGCCTGGGTTTGAGAATGACTCTGGAGTCATCCAATCCAAACTCCAAACATGCAGGACTCACTGAGAGGGCCTGCAGATCTCCCACTCGCTTGATAGATGCCAATGCCAACAGGAGAGCAGTCTTTAGCGAAAGTGGTTTTAGATCAACCGACTGGAGCGGCTCAAAAGGTGGTCCCCTCAGGGCCCTAAGGACCGTGGAGAGGTCCCAAGGCGGCACCGAAGGGGGCCTGGAGGGGTTAATCCTCCTAGCACCCTTCAGAAACTTTACCACCAGGTCATTCCTTCCTAGTGATTGGCCAGCCACCAGAGCATGATGCGCTGCGATGGCTGCCACATACACTTTGAGCGTGGACGGGGTGCGGCCCGCGTCCAGTAGCTCCTGCAGGAAGGAGAGCACCACCGAAACCTCACATGACTCTGGGTCAATACGATTTCTCGAGCACCAGCTGGAAAAACCCGACCACTTTAAAGCATAAAGGCGCCGAGTAGACGGGGCCCTTGCTTCAGAGATAGTGCTTAAGACCCTGTCAGGAAGGTCCCCGGATACCCGTTTAGGGGCCACACATGGAGGGCCCATAAATCGGGTCGGGGATGCCACATTGTTCCATTGGCCTGTGTGAGGAGATCCTTCCTCATCGGAACAGGCCAGGGGGTCGTGTCTGACAACTGAACCAGTTCCGGAAACCAAGGTCTGGATTTCCAGAGAGGAGCCACCAGAAGGACTGGGCATCCGCTCTCCCTGACCCGCTCGATAACCTGTGGGATCATCGAGACGGGGGGAAACGTGTAAAGGGGGCGGCTGGGCCAGAGATGAGCCAGCGCATCCCTGTTTTTCGAGAAAAACACCCTGCAGTGGGTGTTGGCTCTCGAGGCGAAAAGGTCGACTTCGGCCTCCCCGAACCTCTCCCATATTAGTCTGACCGTCTGAGGGTTCAGGGACCACTCGCCTAGGGGAGTGTTGCCCCTTGAGAGCATATCCGCGCCCACATTCTGGACGCCCGGGACATGCGCTGCTCTCAGAGAGCTCAGATTGGCTTGTGCCCACATGAGGAGGTCCCTCGCCATAGCGTACAGGTTGCCTGACCTGATGCCACCCTGGCGATTTATGTAGGCCACCACAGACACGTTGTCTGTACGGACCAAGACGTGGTGACCCCTGAGGTTTGACAGAAAAGCTTTCAGGGCCAAACCAACTGCTTTCATTTCCAGACAGTTGATATGTAAGCTCTGCTCCGTGCTCGACCAGAGGCCGGAGGCAGGCTTGCCCTCGTGCAGCGCTCCCCAACCCATGTTGGATGCATCTGTAAAAACCACTTTCCTCCTGGAAACTATCCCCATGGTCACCCCCTTGCTGTACCAGTCCTGAGCCCGCCAGGGAATCAGTGTTCTCAAACACCCCTGATTCACCATAATGCGCAGGCTGCCTGACTGCCATGCATGGGATGGCACACGGCGTTTCAGCCAGTGCTGCAGCGGGCGCATGTGCAGTAATCCCATGTGGAGTACTGATGATGCAGCTGCCATTAGACCAAGCAGTCTCTGAAACCTCTTCAGAGGCGCGCGCTCGTGCGCCCTGAATGTGGCTACCAGTGTCTGCACAGAGAGCGCGCGCTCTTGAGTGAGCCGCGCTTTCATTGTCACCGAGTCTAAAACCGTGCCCAGAAAGACCACAGTCTGGCTGGGGTTCAGTTCGCTTTTGGCAACATTGATTGTGAGACCCAGGCACTTTAAATGGCTGAGAATCAAATCCCTGTGAACTATTAGTTCGTCTCTCGACTGCGCTAGCACCAGCCAGTCGTCGAGATAATTCAGCACACGCACTCCCTGGCTTTTCAGCGGGGAGAGCGCTGCATCCATACATTTCGTGAATGTACGGGGTGCCAGAGCCAGACCGAACGGCAGAACGGTGTATTGATATGCCCTCCCCTCGAAGGCGAATCTCAAAAATGGCCTGTGACGAGGGTCGATCTGAATATGAAAGTATGCATCTTTCAGATCCATTGAAACAAACCAGTCCCCCGGGCAAACCTGCGCGAGAATTTGTTTGAGTGTTAACATTTTGAAAGGCCGTCTCATGAGAGCCCTGTTCAAACACCTCAGATCTAGTATGGGTCTGAGCCCGCCGTCTTTCTTTGGAATTAGAAAATAGCGGCTGTAAAACCCCGAATACATTAGCGCGGGAGGGACTGACTCTATCGCTCCTTTTGCTAATAATTCCTGAACTTCGGTGCGAAGCACGTGATTCACGCCGCTTCTCACCGATGTCTCGATAACCGCCTGGAATTTCGGGGGTCTGCGAGCGAATTGGAGCGAGTAGCCTCGCTTTATAGTGTTTATGACCCAACTCGACACACCAGGGATGGCTTGCCAGGCCATCACTCGTGTGGCTAGGGCGTGACACACTGAATGGGGGGGGACCGCCTAACATAGGGGGACCTGATACCCTTATAATGTGATTTGTGCACATACTGAGTGTTTGACTGACTGTATAGGCTTTTGCCCGGGGGGAAGTCAGTGTTACAACAGGGCGGGGGCCGCCTAGTGAAGGGGGACCGTGAACCCGTGTGTTGTGATTGTGAAACATGCTATTTTTGTGCTTTATTTGGGTCGGCGTGAAAACGGCGTTTGTTTGCAGAGACGCGCTCACTGCTGCGGGCCTGTTTACAATAATAAAATCCCCAGCCGCCTGAACTGAACAGGGAGCTGTGGGAAGTTTTGCTGGTTTCTTCGAGGGTGGTCCGGCAAGCGCGAGACACGAGCCCTCTCTCTTTCCCCTCCGTGCTTGGACGACTTCGGAGGCGCCTGGTCGGCCACGGCGCTGGGTCGAGGGCCTTGACGCCTGGGGAGCGGGTAGCGCTTCGCGGACCTTGACTGGCGCTGGCTATCAGCCGCAGGGCGGGGCTGAGAGGCCTGTTTCGCAGCGCTAAGTCCGTAGCACTCCTCAGGTCCCGAAAGGTCTCCGGGTCCGGGCCAGCCTCGTCCATGGACCGGAGGAGTTTGGCCTGGTAGACCTGCAACACGGCCATCGTGTGCAGGGCCGATGCAGCCTGACCGGAGGCGGCGTACGCGCGTCCAGCGAGGGCTGAGGTGTTACGGCAGGGTTTGTTGGGATGAGCGGCTCTAGCTCGCCAGCTAGCTGCAGTGTTCTGGCAAAGATGAGCTGCCACGGCCTCTTCGAGGGGCGGCAAAGACTCATAACCCTTTTCCGCTGCGCCATCCACGGAGGAGAGCGTCGCGGAAACTGCGGATCCCACACGTGCTGAGTATGGAGCGCGCCAGGCCTTGGTTAGCTCCTCGTGGACCTCGGGGAAAAATGGCGCCGGTTTGTGACGCGGGGCCTGCTGGCGCCCCTCCAGAAACCATCCATCCAGCCGACTACGAGGCGGCTCTTCGGGCGAGGCCCACTCGAGGTCGAGGTCCACGACGGCCTTCGTCAGGATCCGAAGCATTTCGGCGTCGGAATTCGTCCTGGTCGCTAATCCACTGGCCACCGATTGAGAAGCGGTGACGGGGTCGAGAGAGCCTGGCCACTCGTCCTCAGAAGCAGCGATGGATAAGCTGTCGTCGCGCTCGAGAGATCCGCCGAAGGAGACGAGGCCCGCCACGTGTGGGGGGGGGGTGCTGGTCTCCTGCGAACAGGACCGGTGATGGCGTTTGAGTCGGAGAAAGTGAAGCACGCGGGGACGCGGCCGGCGTGCGTTCACAAATCTCCATACCCTCCGGTTGCCGTTGGCTGCGACGCTTCTTCTTCCTCGGAATGGAAAGCGTGGTTGAAGCGGCCTCGCCGTCCCGGGAGAGAGCTAGCCGATTGCGCAGCACGGAGATAGGCATGCTGTCGCAGGCCTCACATCCGCCGGCAGAGGGAGCATTCTCTGCGTGGTCGACACCCAGGCAGGAAATGCAGCTCGTGTGGTCTGCCTTGTGCAGACGGCCTCCGCACGTGGCGCAGGATGAACGAGGCATACTGAAAAGAATTCACAAAATAATAATGCAAAGGATATAGGATGTCGCCGGATAGCCACAGGTGAGACGGCGTCAGGAGACAATCGACGTGCAGGCGAAGTCTGCTGAAGAGATAGCTCGCTCAGGCTGAAAGGCTTGTTCGACGGCGAATACTACAGTAAAAAGCTCAGGGACATGTGTACTGTCGCTGAAGGAGTAAAATCTGCTATAATGGCGAATTCGGGGGTCTATATAGGCTGGGCCACGCCCCCTCGACGGGCTCTGACATTGGGCTAGCTCATTGGTCGTGTGTCAGATTCGCCCGCGCCATTGGATGTGCAGTTGCTGCAGCACAGCCTATGAGCGGGTCAGACGCTCAGTGTGCTAGCTGTGCAGCTGCAAATGCGTTTTACATATAGGCTTCAGTAAATCGAGGAAAAGGAGTTTCCCCACTGCGTATAGCTACGCAATACGAAGTGACCGTTCGAAAGGGAACTTGAGTTACGTAATCAGATTACTTTTTTTTCCAAGTTACTAGTAAAGTAGCGCATTACTTTTAAATTAACAACAAAATATCTGAGTTACAAATAAGTAACGCAAGTTACTTTGTTTTTCAATTTATTGACTGGCAGCTCTCCTGTCCCCATGTTGAGAGAAATCATGAGTAAGTGCAGAGGTATTGTCTTCGCTGTGTAAACCATGATGGATATTGTAGTTTTAGAATAAATGTGAACATGCATTTACTCATCTCAAAGGTTCAGTATAACTCAAAATTAATAAAAACAGTGAAATGCAATCTCAGAATATTACGAAAACTTGCAAAAATTAAATATATTCAATGACACGTATATATACTTTGTGTATTTAATCTTACTTTATTAACCAATGTCTTTGCTGCTGACCTTCGATGATGCACTTCAACATTACTAATAAGCAAAAATGACTTTAGATAAACATCACAATTTGGTTTCTTTTTTTTTAAATTGTATTGCTCAAGTATTTAACTTATCCTGCATGCTATTCTTCTTCAATCCAGAATGGCAGAACTGAAAGTTTTTTTTTTTTACTGCGCCCTCTACTGTACAGGCGCAAATTTGCATTTCTTTCAGCCTGAGGCTTTATTCATTTCACTTTTGGTCTGGAAGGGCCTTTACATTTGCCAAAAATAGAAAATAGAATTTGCATTAGAAGTTAAAAAACAAACAAGCAAGCCCACCCAGGTGAGAAAAAGTAATGCAAAAGTAATGCGACGCAATTACATTGTTAGGGAGAAACGCAATACAGTAATGCATTACTTTTGCATGCAACATAGTAACTTTCCCCAACACTGGTCATGCACAGTCTGTGTAGAGGGATGGTTAGGCTTCAGAAAATCAATAATGATGTGGCTTTGAAAGGATTTTTTGGCCAAAGATTAAAGATAAAAAAAAGGTTCTTCAGGACGATATGCTTCTAAATAGAACTGTTACTACGTGCAAATAACCTTTAAAGAACCATCTTGTTTTAAAGTGTAGCTGTACAAAATCTTACAGAAATGCTGAAATCTCAATATTGTGTTACATTTATGTTATTTTGTTCATGTCATCTCAGATTTGTGGAGCTTTCTTGTCTTCTGATTGGGCGCACAAGAGTTGTGATGAAAAGGGTTTTAAGTTCTTTGGCACAGGAGAGTGCTTTGTTTTCACTGTGAGTAAGTCTCCATTTGCCATCCGTTTCAATTGATTAGTTGTGCTTTAAATTGTACCTGATGTCACATTGTATGCACCAGAATATGATTTGCAGTAGTCGATAACAGAATAATTGAATTCCTAATTGCAAATACATTTTTCAGCTACGACCAGGAATGGAACGGTACCAGCGTACAGTGCTGCAGATCTCTGGAATGTCTGAGAAAAGTGATCAAACTCTCTCCGCTAGCTCTCGAATAAACACTCATGTGGACAGACCCACTGCAGCCTCTCAGGACCAAAGATACAAGTCTTCTTCCTTCTGCACATTGTCAACATTCAAATTCATGGCAGGAGATGATGAGACACTTTTTATTGGTGAGCAAGTGTGAAGGAAAGGTTTCTTTCAGAATACATATTTCATGTCAGTTATCCCCTATTGTTATCATAAACAACGTGGCTGCCTCTCAGGCTTCATATTTGCATACCCCGTGTGCACATTTCACCTGCAAACATGCTGGAACGTTGCCTTTGTGTCAACATTACTGGGAAAAAAACAAACAGTGTCTTCCTTAACATAGATGAAATGTTGTGTATACACTCCTTTACTTGCGGTCTATCCTAGGTGGCGATGGCGGCCATGCACTCAACCTGCAGGCTGATCTGACAGCTGGCTATTCTGAAAGCTGCGATACATTTGAGAGTCCACCACTCTGCAGGAGAAGCTTCAAGATCCAGTCTCTAGAGGTGTGGGGTATCCAGCATTCATTGTCTGTTCCACCGCTGCTTTCACACTGAAGACTGTAGGAGCGCTGTGGAGGAATGTGTCCACATGTATCAAAGGTCACACTGGCAAAATGGCATCATGCTTTGAGACAAAACTATGGACATTAAAGATTTAGTGTAGTCCAGTCAGTGAAGGAAAACTGTACATGCACATTGTTGCGCTACTGCAGTATGAACAGAAATAAATTGTAAATATCATTTAAGATTCAAATTTACACAATGTTATTTATTTACATTTTCAAAGACTTTTTTTTATTGTATGGCTTATATTATTTTTCATATTTGTAGTCCTGTCATTCTCTGCATTTCTGGAATAACTAGTTTTCAAAGACAGTATTCAAGTCAAACATCAGCAGTTTGTTGCATTTTAATAAACATTAAAATCTACATTGTTGTAAATAAAAAGAGAACTTTTACACCAAATAGATGCAACTGAAATTGAATCATGGCTGTAGTAAATAAAGTGGATATAAAAAGCAATGTGTGTGAGTGGAATAAAATACTGAGGCCTGTAGCAGAAAGCCATTACAATGACTACCCATAATGTATGTTTGAGTTTGAGCAAACTCTGGAAGTTCAAGGAGGTGGATTGGTTTTTATCTGTTCATCACCATGATAACTTATACGCTACATGGCTAACTTTGCTCCAGAGCAGGATTTATTCTAGGTAAAAGATTGCAAACCAAAACTAAACCAATAAGTTGTGTGCAAATTAACATATTTGACGCAATGAATGGGGTGGTCAACTTTGGCCCACTGTCCTGAAAAGTCTAGCTGCAACCCTAATCAAACACCTGACAAATCTAACCAAAAGGCGTTGACTTCAGCTACGGCTGAATTTATAATCTTTTTGTCCGCAGGTCGGAATCAGCCAGAATTCACATTCATGGCTGTGTTCGAAATCGCCACCTATACCCTCATTCACTATTCCCTACGTCCACTTGAAGGAGTGAATGAAAACGAGCTGTCGCTTTTGCATAGTTTCTGCTTGCTGTTTAAAAAGTAAGTCTCATCGTCATCACCGGCGGCCATCTTGTCAGAGGCAAGCTTTCTGGCGGGCTCTGTGGTACCTGATGTAAGATGAGTGATCAGCACGAACACAAATACTCTTATCTCGTTGAAATCTTGAAGGATTTACAAACGGTTGGGTTTCTTACAAACGATATTAACGTGGCTATAATTCTGGATGATTATTAATTTATACACTTATTATTCATAAGTATGCAGTGTCATGACTACATCTCTGACGTTTATAACAAACCAAACCATTTGAAAATCGGTAGAAAATTTAGCAAGTTATGGTTATTTAAAAAGTACATGCGCCATTAAAACACAATGTTACGAGTGAGCGAGCTGCCTGTGACAAGATGGCCGCCAGGTGCGGACGTCGACCATTGGCCAGCAGTGCGGACGAGACATCTAGCCTTTATTATGGATATCTATGATGTCGATAACCAAACAGTTGATTGGCCCCATTGACTTCCATAATATGGGGGATGGGGAAGGGCAATATGGAAATCAGTGGGGTCCATCAACCGTTTGGTTACCGACATTTTTCAAAATGTCTTCTTTTGTGTTCAGCAGAAGAAATTCATAACGGGTGATTCATTTAACTCCCTTTAACATGTGACAAACTTGTGCTTTTATTTACCATGTTTGAGGATTACTTTTACAATGATTACTTTTACAATTGTTCATGTACATTTTGAAGCTTGAAATGTTGATTAGACATTCAATGGATGGACAACAATTAAAACATATCTTCATTTTGGCTCCAAAGACGAACGAAAGTAGACTGTTTTGGAACGATATGAAGGTGGGTAAATGATGACAGAATTTTTATTTTATTTTCAAGAGAACCAACACTTTAATGTTAATGAACTAATCAACCAGTCCTCTATAACAAACTATTAAAGAAACTTATTTGCAAAGAATAAACAAAAAACAACCTGATGTTTGTCAAAGTAAAATGCATATTTCACATATGCAATGACAGAACCACCAATGTATTGAGTAAAGTATAATATAACTTATGAACTAGTCAACTGTTAACCAAAATTTAAGTTCTATCACTTGCAACAATAAGAATATGAAAACAACACCCTGCCCAAGGTATTTCTTTTTCTTTTACACATTTACATCTTATCAACAATTCTCTCCAGCAGGTTTAGTAACTTTTCCTCTCTTTCCTCTGCTCTCTTCTCCCTGGCCTCATTCCTCTCAGCCTCTCTCTCCAGGAACTCCAAAACTGGATCCTTATGCTGCCTTTTTGGTGGTAAGGGGCTAAACCCCGGGTCACTCTCATCTGTTTCAATCAGGTCGGTGGAACAATAATTAGGGGATGCTGAAGAAATCAGAGATAGCCTCCAACCAATTGCTTCATTCATCAGCTCAAACCATTTCCAGTTTCTTGCAACTGTGTCCCCTGACTTGGTCTCCACACCTGATGGTGACTGCTTCAGTTCCTACAAATATTTTGGGCAATGATAAGAGTGACTCAGCTCAGACCTCATGTAATGAAAAAACACAGTGACTAGTGTCTGCTCAAAAATAGAAAAATCACCATGAACAGCAGTCAATAAGAATTGTGTGGGTATTTCATAAATATGGCCTATACTGTCGACATCAAAAACCTGACATGACACAACTTTACATGCACAAAATCTATTTAACAACTATTAAACTGCATGAGTAGGCCTAATACTGATATTATAATTGTTTTGACAGGCCTTGGAAGTAAAAATTACTAAAATAAAACAATGCATGATTTTAATGTTTGATACTAATGCAAAAGACAAACCTTAAACTTTTTTGTAAGGTTTTTCCACTTCTTCCGAGCCCTTTCTGTGCTGACTTTATCAGCAAGACCCATCTCTTTAAGAATTGTTCTGAAAAACAAACATTTCACCATTCATACCTCAAAGAATGATAAAACTTAAATAAAAAATAATAATACAAAAATAAAAACAAAGAGATGACTACTTTTGTACGAATTTGTTGAAAATTATCCATTTAAAATGGAAGCTGCAGTTAAATGGCATTTAGGCTAACTATAAAAAACAGCATTGCCTACGTATGAAAACATCCTAAAACACAAATAAAATATGTCCATAACACAAACACATATTATTTCCCATACAGTAACTGTGTGTTCTGTTATGTGTCATAGAAGTAAAATTGCAATATCAATTCGATAGAGGGAGAGAGACTAATAAAACAAATAGGCTATTTGATAATCATCTACTGTTAATGTTGTAATAAACTGATTGCAGTGAGTAAACCATTTGTAATAAAGATAAAAGACTTACTCCCATCCAAGTCGCGCTGCATTTCTTTTGCCAGAAAACATGTAATCCTTCTCCGCCCTAAGGCGAATAAGCTTATCCACATCTTCGTCTGACCCTGTGGTAATAATTTGAAACTTAGCTAATTGAGTTTTAAAACTATGTTGAAATCTATCAAATAAACCTGAATTAAACTATTTAAATCAATCAATTAAAAACGAACTTACAACCGTATTGATCTGTCTTGGACGCCATCTTGTGTCTACTCGAGACGCGGGGGGAATTCATTCGAGGCATTTCGGACATAAGAATCGGTTCAGCGCAGATTTAGCTGATCATCGACTCCGTATGCTTTCGATTCGCTCTCGCGGTACTTTGATGTCATGGTCATACACCGATCGGTCTGCTCAGCGGCTCAGCGCCGCTTCATGATAAACACACCTATGCTAAACCTGTACAAGGCCTCCCGCCTACATTAGCCGACAGTTAATTTAAATGACTCATGATCCGACAAAACCAAATCGCTTAAATTATTTAGACATCCTAATTAATAACAAAAAAAGCTGCAACATTCTACGTCAGGAATTCTGAGTGATTTTGTGTCTTCTAAAAAAACAGTTAGCGTAAAGAGAGTTAATTTCACTGAATCGATTCAGTGAAATGAACTTTCTTTACGCTACTGAGCAACGAGTCCAAACACAGCGTGCCACTGTTGCCTAGATACGTGTGTTTGGCTCCCGAAGCCAGCAGCCTTTTCAACACACATCCGAAGCTGCAAGTTGTATCACGATGGCAGAAGACACGCAAGAATTCCCTCAGCTCGCATTAGAGGCTGTTATTGGTTTTAATGGTAAGGTGAACTGTGAACAATCTCTCATTTGATTGTTTGGTCTTTACAATTTAAACAATACTATCGGTATTTGCTAAGATGAAAGTAATTCAACGGTATCAAAACATCTAACGTTACATTGTTTATACAGGGCATGTGTTTTCTGGACTCAAAGTGCATCCAGACAGAGAACATATAATTTATTCTCTTGGCTGCACTGTTATTATTAAGAGTCTGAGAGGTGGAAAACAGGATTTCCTTCATGGCCACACAAACAACGTCTCTTGCATTTCTGTGTCTAAAAGTGGGCGCTATATTGCATCTGGACAGGTCACTTTCATGGGCTTTAAGGTGAGCTGGAGCAATAAAAGTAGGAAAACACAATTTATACACGGCTTAATAACATCATACTGGGAGATGCTTTGTTTTACTGGAAGACAGGGCTCCCTTAGTAGTCCATTCTTATAACCTTGGAATGAGATGATCATTTCTCACTACAGGCTGATGTTATTATCTGGGACTATGAGAAGAAGGAGATGTATGCTCGTCTTGTGCTCCATAAAGCTAAAGTTGAAGATCTTAGCTTCTCCCCTAATGACAAGTATCTGGTATCTCTAGGTGGACAGGATGATGCCAGGTAAAATACTTATTATTGCAGTGAAGTGATCTTAAATTGATTTCCCATTGCATATTTCGGTTTGGTTTCTCACCTCTTGTCTCTTTGTGTGGTTTGATTAGGCAATATATATATATAAATTTATTTTATATGAACTAATCTAGATGTACATTAGAAAGTCCTTTCTTAACATGTTTACGTTATGGTTTTAGTATCGTGGTGTGGAACATCGAGAGTAAGAAGGCTATATGTGGCAGTCCTGCTTCAGCACAGAGTGCTGGTCACTGCTTCGCCATAGAGTTCACCAACCTGAACGATGAAATCTTTGTCTCTGCTGGAAGGTTTGTGAGACCTTTTTAGTATAATGATGCACACTTAATCTCACATTAAACGATTTCTGAACTGATTGATATAGGCCTATATGAAACATTTTTAATGTTTCTTATGCTCATCAAGTCTGCATGTATTTGATCAAAAATACAGAAAATATAGATTTTGTGAAATAATATTACAATTTAAAACAAGGGTTTTCTATTTTAATATACTTTAAAATATAATTTATTTCTGTGATGCAAAACTGAATTTCCATCAGCCATTACACCGTCTTCAGTGTCACATGATCCTTCAGAAATCATTTTAATATGGTGATTTGATACTCTGTTATTATCAATGTTGGAAACAGTTGTGTTGCTTGATATTTTTTTATTGATGAATAAAAAGTTAAAAAGAACAACATTTATTTAAAATAGATATATTTTCTAACAATATAAATCTTTACTATAAATTTAACAAATCCTTACTGAATAAAAGTATGAATTTCTTTCAAAAAAGAAGGAAAAAAATTACTGACCCTAAACTTTTGAAGTGAACGGTAGTGTATATTGTTACAAAAGATTTCTATTTCAAATAAATGCTGTTTTTTTTAAAAAAAAATTTACTTTTTATTCTTCAAAGAATCCTGAAAAAAGTATCATAGGTTATAAAAATATATTAAGCAGCACTTTTGTTTCCAACATTGATAATAAATCAGCATATTCAAATCATTTCTGAAGGATCATGTGACTGAAGACAGAAGACAGTTTTGTAGAGTAATGGCTGATGAAAATTCAGCTTTGCATCACAGAAAAAAAAAGATATTTAAAAGTATATTAAAATAGACAACCATTATTTTAAATTGTAATAATATTTCACAATATTACTGTTTTTTCTGTATCTTTTCAAAATACTTGATGAGGATAAGAGACTTCTTTCAAAAACATTAAAAATAATAATGTTGGTACACACACACTTAATGTCACATTAAATCTTGAGATTGTTGTGCATACAACAATCTCATTTGATTATTAAAATTAAAACCAAAATGAACATTTGAAATGCAAACTAATAGTTTCTATACTGGCTCACCAAAGCAAAAGATACAAGTAAAGGTATTATTTGGTGAAGAGTCTAACATGTCTTTTGCACAATTATGTAATTTATATATTTATATAATATTCTTTAGTCAGAAATCAGTTGAGCACTATAGTAATATACTACAGATCGATGTACTGTGTATGTGAAAAAAAGTGCTTATCGCTTTCTGCACATGTTAATTTAGAGTGTTTTCATGTTTGTTTGTTTGTTGTTGTTTTCCCCCCCAAGTGGAACTCTACGTGTGTGGGAGCTGGATTTACCCAACAGAAAGATCCGGCCCACAGAATGTCAGACTGGACAGCTTAAGAGAATTGTCAAATGCCTTGAGGTGAGTGAGAATCACGGCTACTGCCGGTTCTGGTTCTCTCTTCTTCTTTTTTTTACCTGCTCATGATATAGGGGGTTTTCAAAGTTTTTTGGTATGGCAAAAACTGGTATATAAAACATCACTAAACGTAAAGTGTTTTTCTGCCTTGCAGATCCCAAATGATGATAATTATTTCTACTGTGGAACTACAAGTGGGGATATTCTGAAAGTGAACCTGAAGACTAGGTTGCTCAACAGCTGTGGACCTGTTAAAGAAAAGTTCAGCAAGGTGAACCTACTAATTCTGTTTAGCACAATAATTATTTTGAAGTTGCCTGTTTATGCATTAGATGCATGACTTCTGAAAAATATGCACTGATGCACATTATGTGAATTGTTTCAAAATAATGCACTGCAAATATTCAATTTATCTTTGACTGTTTTATTATCTCTTTTGACTACTGCTATTGTTTTATTGCACTACACAGTCCAAGAAACACGATTAAACAGATGCAAAAAACAAGCTGAAAAAAAAAAAAGATGATATTTTAAAATGCTTTGTCTTGTTGTCGCAGGGAGTGAACACTCTTAAAGTCTTGAAGACCGGTGATATTTTAGTTGGATCAGGAGATGGGATGTTGACTTTGTGCTCAGGAGGGAATTTCAAAACCATAAAGTCCGTAACAACCTTGGTTTCAAAAAACAAAACAAAAATTTTACAAAAAAAATGTGTTATTTTTTATTGTTTCTACCTGCCTTCCTCTCGTTCAGCCACTAATTATGGTTGACTATATGATTTGTGACAGGAGTGTTCAGTTGGAGGGTGGGGTGACATCGGTGGCCCTGCGTGGAGACGGGCATCAGTTCTTCGTCGGGACAGAGACAGCACAGATCTACAGTTTAAGCTACGCTGACTTCAAACCAGAGCTCATTGCTACAAATCATAACAGTTCTGTAAAGGATGTGGCCTTTCCTTTGTGAGTAATGAACACCTCTCTTCTGCCACCAGAGGGAGACATTAGCTTTGTATCGGTGGCCTAAGTAAAATTCATTGACGTCCATCTATTTGTGCAAATCCTCTCTATTACTCTCAACAGTGGGACGTCAGAGCTCTTTGCAACCTGTTCACAGAATGATATAAGAGTGTGGCATGCTGAGTCCTCCAAGGAACTACTGCGTATCATAGTGCCCAACATAACGTGCAACGCTCTGGGCTTTATGCAAGATGGCCGGAGCATCTTCAGTGGTCAGTCTCATACAGGATGACCTGTTGAAATGGTTTGAGGAGCATAGCGTTGCTTTTCTATGTTGATGTATTTTCCGTTTGAAAGACTTTTTGTACACTCCTTGGCAAAAAAAAAAAAAGAAGAAAAGTGGCCAAGCCAAAAATGTCAAAATATGTAGTGGTATTTAAATGGTCTTAACCATTTTAATCATAAATCACTGGTCAGAAAATTAGCAAGATTTGCACAACTACTGTAGATAAAGTAACAGCACGGAATACCCTTCCCCAATTTGTTGAAAGCGTTTTACAGGAAGAAGAGTCAGGCTACGTCTACATTAATCAGGATAGATTTGAAAACGGAGTTTTCGTTTCAAAACGCTCTCCGTCCACATTAGCGTTTTCCAAAAGTTTCTCATCCACACTGAAACGTCGGAAAACTCTAAATTCACCTTACAGCGCATGTGTAACCCTCATAAAAGCTCACTGAGATGATACAGACAAAACAAGACAATATTAACGCAATTCTTCTGGGAGGATCATTTTATTTAGCGAAATATCTCACCATTCACCAATGCGTGCAGGTCACACTCACCATTTTATGTTTGGTCTAAAACGCAACTGGTCTCATGTTTTGCCGCTGGACATGAATTTTCTGTCATCTTTGCAGGACTGTGATATGAAGAGTGTGTAAAGTAACATATTTTAGCAACTGTGTGAAAGGGAAAAGCACATAACAGGCACAATATTTGATGTTAGAAACATGAATATCTATGGGTTCAATATGCGTCATATGATTAAACTTACGTCATTGTTTTTAAATACCTCCGTTTTCACAGTCCACACTACAACGCAAAAACTGCGTTTTCAAATGTACTATCCACTTTGGAGAGCATTTTCAAAAAGCTTCGTTTTTGTTGCTAAAAATGCTGTCTCAGTGTGGACGGAAGGCCAAAACTAGGAGAAAAAGATGCGTTTTCAAACGAAAACGCTTTAGAGTGGACAAGGCCTCCGTGTTGTTCCACTCAAATGTTTATGGCTTCAAACAGTTCATGAGTAGTTGAAAAATGTCTCCTAGTTCGTTTGAGGTCATTTGTGAGACCAAATATGCACTATAGGCTTCAATCTGGACTCTGACCTGGCCTTGTTCTCAAGCCACTTCTTGGTTGTCTTTGAAATTTGGGCAGAAGCATTGTCTTGTTGAAAATAACATCTGATCATTCCTCTTTAGATAACTTGCCATTTGTGGGAAGCCAGCCATTCTGCAATATTTTCCTTTACTCCAAAGCATTAAATGACTTTTCACAGTGTAGTAGCTCACCAATACCTGCAGCTAAAAAGACACATAGAGAATAGAGATGCATTTATTATTATACTTCTCACCAGATTTTCGAAAACACCCTCTGGATCATCACCATGCAACCTGTGTTTCATTGTGATTCATCACTCCACACAACTCTGCTGATTCACAGTGAATCAAACTTCCAGTTTCTGCCAAAAAATTCATTCTGTTTTCATTCAAATTCAGTTTTTCTGAGACCGCAATGGCATTTTGCTAATTTCTTGACCAATAATTTGTGGTTAAGACAATTAAAAGATCAGTGTTTAGCCATTTCTTTAGCCCAGGAGTGTACAAGCTGTAATAAAAGTACAAGCTGTATCTTAACTAAAGACACAGACAAAACACGATACTACTTGGTATTGCTAGTTATAATCTAGATTTAGATTATATTTTTTTATCTATATAATAAATGGATTTTTAACACTGATATTATATTTATACTGATATATTTAACAAAATATTTTATTTTTTATTTGTTTATTTGAATATGATTTATTGGATTATTTACTTGTTAAAGTCATTTTTTTAACAGTTTTTGCAGTACACTAGAATACAGATGACCTCAAAACTTAAAGACACGGAGTCTCCAATAATTAATTCACAGGGTCTTTTTTATCAGTATTTAATAATAAAAAAAGTTTGAATTATGCACAAACGTGCTAATTAATTCACTCATTTAACACGTTTGGAGTTCAGTACAATGCAGTTACAGCTTTCTTTATTTGATCACTTTTTTGACAGCTTGGAACGATGGGAAGATTCGTGTGTTCACTCCAGAGACCGGGAAGCTGAGGCTGATAATTCATAATGCCCACAGTATGGGAGTAACTGCCATAGCATCAACCAATGACTGCAAGTGGATTGTCAGTGGAGGGGGAGAAGGACAGGTACGCACTCTTGAGAGCTGTGCTCATGTTTTAGATGAAACAAATTACATCAAAGGGTTAGTTCACCCAAAAATGAAAATTCTGCCATTAATTAGCAATGTCATTGCAACTGTCAAGGCCCTGAAAGGTAGTAAAGACTTATTTAAAATAGTCCATGTGACTACAGTGGTTCAAATGTAATGTTGTTATGAAGCAATGGCTATAATAACAAATATAATAATAATAACAAAAATAACAACTTTATTCAACAATTTATTCTCTTCTGTGACAGATCTCCTATGCTATTCGCGTAGTAAACACAGTATAGCGCTTCCAGGTTCTACGTCAGAACGCCGGCTCACCATTGGCCAGCTCCTGCATCAGCATCACACGCATGTGTTGTGGTGCTCACGTGAACAGCGTCGGACAATAATTAGCCGGCATTCTGGCGTAGAACCCTGAAGAACTGTTCTGTGTTTACTATGCGAAAAGCGTAGGAGATCTGACACAGAAGAGAAGAAATTGTTGTCGTTGTTTTCGTTTTTTTGCGCACCAAAAGTAGTCTCGTCACTTCATAACATTACATTTGAACCACTGTATTCACATGGACTATTTTAACAATGTCTTTACTACCTTTCTGGGCCTTGAAAGTTGCAATGACCTTTGCTGTCTATATGGAGGGGTCAGAAAGCTCTCGGATTTCATCAAACATATCTTCATTTGTGTTCTGAAGATGAACAAAGGTCTTACGGGTTTGGAACGACATGAGGGTGAGTAATTGATGACAGAATTTTCATTTTGGGGTGAACTATCCCTTTAACCCACTTAGTTCATGGCTACTTACCAAATTCATAATAACAAATACATTTTTGTGAAATATTATTTTAAGAGGGGAAAAAAGGGCTGCGGAGTGAAACGAAACAATTTTAAAATGTATTAAAATAGTTTTTGATAAAATAAGCGCAGCCTTGGTGAGCATAGGAGACTTCTTTCAAAAACATTAAAAAACCTTTAAGACTCAAAGTTTTGAACGGTAGTGTGTGTAGAAAACTAGTTTCCTTGGGAAACAATTAAATACACAGTTTAGCTTTCATTATACTACAGTATCTATTTTACAGAGCAATGTAATAATAAGTAGAGATGTTTTGGTATTTTGTAATCTAAAACATCCTTCAAATAAATGCAGAATAAATGTAATGTAAACCTTGACATCTCTCTGTAATGAAGGTGCGAGTCTGGGAGATATCCCAGAAATCCTATCGACTCATTGAGACCATGAAGGAGCACAAAGCCACAGTTAACTGTATTAAGATCAAGAGTAATGACAAGGAATGTGTGACGGCCAGCTCTGATGGAGCCTGCATCATCTGGGACCTGGTGTAAGTTTGAAGAGCATCAGATCATACATCAGATCATACATAGACGTACGTCATTTAATCTAGACGTACTGAGTGAGAAGTTTTGCCCTCATGTTATTAATCTATGCACAAACTTTTCATGTGTTGAAAATAGTGCTGTTAAATCGATTAATTGTATCTAAAATAAAATGTTGTGTTTATATAATATAATATTATATATAAATATTATATGTTTGTGTGTGTGTATACAGTATATATACACACACACACACATATATAAATATAATAATATATATATATACACACATATATTATGTAAACACAAAATTTTATGTTAGAAGCGATTAATCGATTTGACAGCACTAGTTGAAAAGTTAAAGGGTTTGTTCATCCAGAAATAAAAAGTGTGTCGTCAGTTACTCACCATCATCGTTGATGATGGTGTCTTTTTAATGTCTTTTTAATTGTTAATTTCTGTCCCTCTATTGAAAGTCTATTCACCCAAAACTAAAGGAAATGCGGTTGAGCATTTGTCATTTTTGAGTGCTCTATGTATGTTCGCTGATCAGTGTTTATATGTGAATAAAAGCCTAAATTAAATCTGTTCATCATATAAAGTGATTGTATCTCTTCAGAATACTTGGATTAAACCACTCGATTCATATGGATTTATTTGACTGATTATGAACGTTTTGAGGCATCCGATATTTGGGTGAATAGACAGAATTTTCATTTTTGGGTGACCTGTCCCTTTAAATCATACACCTTTACATGAACCAAATATTCAGAGTACTGATTTTCTTTCTGAAAAAAACATTCTATTTGATGTCATCTTTAACTTTATCTGTCTGGGTTCGTCTGATTTCCCATTAAGGAGGTTCGTCAGGAATCAAATGGTCTTGTCCAACACCCTGTTCAGTGTTGTATGTTACCACCCTGAGGAATACCAGATCATCACCAGTGGCACTGACAGAAAGGTACAAGACTAGACTGATCTAGACTGATGAACTGGCATGTGTTTGAGAGAAACGTGGCCAGAGAGAGAGAGATGGATAGGTGAGAGAGTAGAAAAAAAACCCAGAGATAGATACACAACAACAACAACTAGCTGACAGAAAGCTCTCCTAGTCTCCTGTGGATGTACTGTAGTATGATCCGCTCGTTCTGTGCCAAATAGTCCATCTGCTAGTTTAGGGCACAGCATCAGTGTCCATTTAAAGAGCTTATTAGAATACGTATGGTCGGCTGTGTACATACATCCATCACACAGAAGGAAAGGAAAGATTGCCATCCTCAGTGCTTTCATTCATATTTCATCTGTGTGGGGTGAAAAGTGAAAATGTACATCATGATGTTATGTTGTATTTAAAGACCTTATATTATTTGCAAGTAGCTTAATTTATTATCAACAATGGTACTAAAGGAGAGCGTATAACATTTTGATTAATATGCTGCATTTGGATAAAGAACAAACGTGTTCTGTTAAATTTCAGCCATCTAATAGCAGTAATTAATAATACTCCAGACTGTAGCCAAACAAACACAAATGTGACTCCATTGTTGTCCAAACGCAGCCAAAACCAGCACAGTATGTACAGTACTTGAAAGGACACAATGCTGGGGTCATGCCGGATACCCAGTGCTGGCGCAAAGCCTGCTGGGACAGATCCATCTCAATGAGGCGTACCAGACCTGCTCTGTCTGCTGTGCTATTACCTTTTAAAACTTGATAGAATTGTTCTGTCATAAATATTTTTTTTAATATGTTTTGAACAGCCTCATAAGTATGAAGTTTGATACATTTTGACAGGATGTTTTAATAAAATAAAATCATTCAGAATCAGAATTTCTTTCTTTTATTTGTTCCTTTTTTAAACGAATAGTCCAATTATCAAAAAAAGCAAGGCCATATCACCAAAGTGAACATCCCCATTACTGCTGAAATGCAATAAGTGGCCTACGGAAATTAGATTTATGTAATATCTGTTGAGTGCAGGTTCAGATGCAACAGCGCAAAACAAAGAACAACTGAAGGCTTAGAGCCATTTGTTTTTTCTTAAGTTGCACTATAACAAATTACATCTTGATTTTTCTCTCTGAGTGCATGCTGAGAAATTACTTTGTCTTTCTCTTTTTTTTATACTTTTAATTGTTATTCAATCACATTTATCAGCCATCGTTGTGATTTTTTTTATTTTATTTAATTAACAACCTTATTTATTTGTTTGTTATACCACCATTAAACCATTTAGACCAGGTTGAGAGATCTTACATGCAATCTTTAACCGTTGAACAGATTGGCTACTGGGAGGTGTATGATGGTTCTGCAATCCGAGAACTTGAGGGCTCCTTGTCCGGAGCTATAAATGGCATGCACATTTCTGAGGAGGGAAAATATTTTGTGACTGGTAGGTACCTTCAGTATCTTTTCACATGCTGAGTTATTTTCACCGAGTCATTCTTCTGTCATATGGCGGATGTAACAGTAACAACAGGTGGCACAATAACAATATAAACAGAAGTATTTATAACGCTGCGGAAAAGCATCAATCGCAAAACAGTTGGATATTTCAAGTTTGCAGAATTCAAACTGATCCCAGCAGTTATTTTTAAATGAGTTTCACAGTTTGAGGCGATAAGGTGCTAATCTAACATTCCTGTTTTTAATGCGTATTCATGCTGCTTTCTGCAGTTTAATGTTAAACATCAAACGTCTCTTTTAGGTGGAGATGACAAACTACTGAAGCTCTGGCTCTATTCTGATGGCGAAGTGACCCACGTTGGCATCGGGCACAGTGGAAGCATCACAAATGTGAGGATCTGTCCCAACAGCAGATATATCGTCAGCACCAGTGCCGATGGAGCTATCCTAAGGTGGAGATACCCACAACTCTCATAGAACCCTAAACAGTCAATAAGATCATCTAATGCTGTTCAGATATGGTGATTATTAGAGAAATATACATTTGCCTTGCACATATTATAAAGATTTAAAACCCAACAGAATAGATATTAAATTTGCTGTGATGTTTTTTAAGAGCAAATGCAGGCCCTTTGGATTTCAGTTACTATATTTAAACATATTACAAATTAATTTGTCACCATAATCTGCAAGAAAACATTATTGTATAATAAAGTATTTTAATGTCGTAGAACCGAAAAGACAAATGGTACCTTCCACTCCTTTTTCTTGCAAATAATTGTAGAACAAATTAGGTTATGAATTCGAATGAGATTTAAAGGTACCATTAAACAGTCCAACTCCAGTCATTTCATTGAAATAAAGCAGCTTAGAGCCCCAGTTTCTGAGGACTTTTTGTGAACCGCACTGTCAGCTAATATATCACCTGAGAATCTACAGAGAGCTGGCGGGGGAGGTTTGGAGAAGTACAGCAAGGCATGAACCCAGCATCTGGATGTGCCTGTCCCAAATTTCCTCTCACCTATGAAGAAGTCTAAATAATGAATATCTTAACCCCTAACAGTAAGGATATTCAACCATATTCAGTCAGATAGGATTTTTTTTGGAGGGAGACGAGGGGTGCTCTGCTAACTTACATGCTTTGGCAATAAAAGTGGTTTCGTATGAGGTTTCAAAAGCAATTTAGTTGAGATCTTATTAGTAACTGAAGATACATATCAAAATCTTCAGTATCTACAAGTGAATATTATGCCATGCTTTACATTGTGACAGTTCATTGGTATAGAATGAACTGCGCAGATCAGACTATCCAGTGACCTTGTTGTCGTTGATATAAAGAAATAAAGTAGCAAAGTCAGTGGGCGGTCCAATCACAATTGTTCTCAGTAATCATATATCAGTATTTATCTGTCTTGCAGGTAAGGTGTCTGATAATAAAGATGTCTATCAAAGGAGAAACATGTACGGTGCGTCTGATAAGACTAGGATCATAAATGTTGGTGTTTTACAGATTAGATGAAGTCTGTAAAATCATGTGCTGAGTTTATTCTTTTTCTGCTCTCCGTCTTCCTTGCTTATGAGCATAATGGGGTTACAGTTATGAAAATACATGAATATGATTCTAGACATGAAAATAAATCATGGATACACTTTTAAAAGAAAGCACTCAGGGCAACAGTAGGGGGCTTTTAATGCTTTATGAAAAGACAGACCACAACTGTGGTATAATTGCTTATGAACCTCAGAATATTTATCATAATCAACGTTAATGTCAGTGGTTCACAAACTTTTTTACTCCAAGGCCCCCATTGGTCACAACATTATTGGGAGGCCCCATAACTTTTCCAGTTTGCAATTTATTGCGATTTTTTAAAAAAATTCTTCAACTTTCTACCTGGTACAATATTTTAGAGCTTGATATAACTAGAAAACATATATTAATTATAAAAATGCCCATGGAGTTTTATGATTTTATTCATTTACATGACATGATCTAGAAATAACACTTCAAAATGTGTGTCTTTTTCAAGACAGTAGAATCCCTGGTTCTTCTTATTCCTCTTCTTCTACAAAAAAAAAAAAAAAAAAAAAAGGCAAGCTGTTAAGGAGGTGATTTCAAATAAGAAACATATAGATTTTTAGTTGATTTGACATATTTTAATGCTGGAATGTCTTATTTTAAATCATTTAAGTCATCTTGGCCCCTTGATTGAGAGTCAGTTTACTCACACACAAGAGTATTTATTTTATTTTTAATGAATAAATGAACAGATGAACCTCGGAATATGTTTTGTCATCTACATTTACAGGACCAAAATTATTCCAGTTTCAGGAAATCTAAATATATGAGTATGTCCAAATGAAGGTCATTATGGATGATATAATATACAGACAGTTGGGAAAAGTCAAGCTAATGATGACACGCTTGTAGAACAAGGAAATGTTATTTGTATAAATCACGTGACCTTCGTATTGTCATTCATCTTTCAAGGTAATGAAAATTATTGGGTTAGTTAAAATACTGTCGAAAACTTCAGCAGAATCGTTTTAAAGAGAGCGTTTATTCAGATTACGTGTAGCCTATACAAGAAGATTCCAATAGCTGTGGACCTTTTTTTTTTTTTTTTTAAAGGGGTCATCGGATGCCCATTTTCCACAAGTTGGTATGATACTTTAGGGTCTTCATGTAAAGTTTGTAACATACTTTGGTTAAAATTCATTAATGGTTGTGTAAAACAACACCCTTTTTACCTCTTCAAAAACAGCTCTGTTCACAGCGACCCGTTTCGGTGAATGTCTCTGTAAATGATAATGAGCAACTGCTCACCCCACCCCTCTCTTCCATGGGCCGTGTCAGTGCTGCCTTGATGGACAGTATACAAATGGCTGAGGGCGGAAATATGCTAATACGGGACAGTCCGTCAGCGGTCATGGGCGGAGCATGAGCAATATGATGTCATATTGCTCAGAAAATCCAAACGGCTTGATTATTGAGAATGTTTAGACTTTTTGAGGATAAAAAAAAAAAAGGGTGAATGGATTTTTTTCATTGTATGGTTGTTGTGTCCACACACTGCAAAGACACATTTATATGCAAACACCATATAAAAGTGAATTTTGCATCCGATGACCCCTTTATGAAAGGCTTTATCGGAATGTGAACATTAACTCCACATTTAAAGTGTGAAAATCAAGTTGTTAATGTTGTTTATATGTCTATGCAGTGTTTTTAATATGCTTTAAGACAAACCATGAGCAAATTCATGAGTCAACACGAATGCTGATTTTCTCTTAAAACTGCAGTGAATCAAAAACAGTCTCAAAAACACATTTTGAAATTGCTGGTGTTTCTGATGTCACAAACTACTTTGTAATCAATCACGTCAACATGCCGGCGGCGGCGGACTTTAGCATAATGCATTAACTTTGCCGTGAAGCAAGGGATTCTCAAGAGAAGCCAGGTTATCCTGGTATATTTTTCTGTTGATATGAAAAATCGGGTAGATTTAGCAATATAGCGAGGCAGCGGTCTGACTACAAGATGGCGAACGGAAACATGGTTTGTGTAACATAAGCAACACATTATTAGCTGTTTGATAACAGTCAAGCAAAAGGCTAATCATATTAATTAATGTTATGTGTCCGACATTGTAAAGAGTGATACCATTGTGCAGTTTTTCTCAAGTTGACCAAGTGGAACTCTGAGCTGGTGTGAGTGAGTGGAGGCGGGGGTAATTAGCATATTACCACTATAGTCAAGTCAAGTCACATTTATTTATATAGGGCTTTTTTACAATACAGTTTGTTTCAAAGCAGCTTTACAGAGATAACAGGAAAATAATGCAACACAGTTCCAGAAGAAAATAGCATCACAGTCCAGCTTAAGTGATGTTTTACTTTTTTTGTAAAAAAGTTATTAATTTAGTTAATTTATATATAATTTATATCTGGAGAAAACCGTGATGTCATCGTCCAGCTCTCATATAATGGTGTCAATGCAGGCAGATATTATTGTTGAATATTATATCAAATGTCAAATACTAAATGAAGCAAGGTTGTAGAGTTACATTCATGCTATTTTTTTTTTTACAGCAAAAACGTTTAAATATGTCATTTTGGTGATCAAAGATTAGATTTAAGGGATAAAAGTATCTACATGGTGGGTTTAAATACGGAATATATACAGCAATGTTTGTTTTTGGAGAGGAGTTGAGCAGCGATGAAGCAGGTAAATACAGGTGTAGACTTCCGTCTTCGGGCTATTCATTGGTCACGTTCACTTCTCCCAATACATGTTCAAAGTAAACCAGGCTAATAAGATTCACAGTGGGAGGGTAGAAAGCCGTGTATCCACCATTCAGACGCATACTCCAGCCAAAAGAAGCCAGAGAAAGAGAGCGGAGAAAACAGCCAGTAATGGGCATCCACACACAAGCACGCATGTAGGTGTGGTGTAAAGAACAAGAGTTGTGACTGAATGGAGTTAAGCACACTGTCATTTCAGGTGCGTAAGCGTCATGGATAAAGCGAAACTAGCGCAGCTGAGATCAGCGATAGGGAATGTCGGGACCGCGCTAGTCACCATGAGCCTCGGCGCCGACAGCGGTGCTTTTGGAGTCTGTTTTTCATCGTCGTGATGGTTTAGTGATGAAGAATTTCGAGACGCACAGGACGCCGTGTCTTCACACCGTAGTGCACTTGTTTCTCTTACTGACTTCTGATCGGTTTGGGTGAAACAACAGACTAAACATGGATACGCCGAGGGAAACCAGGAAACAAACAATCAAAGCCAAATCAACCAAGCGCAAGAACAAGACGCACACGTCCCAGAAGCTGTTCAGGAGGAAATCGTTGAAATCGCTCGGAAATTTTATGAGCAGGATTGTCAAAACTTTGGGCACTTTAGCACACTTGGGGGACGCGGACCAGCCGGACGCGGGGGAGGATGATGATGGGGGGTTTGGGGACACTCTGAGCGCCCACAACTCTGGGAATTACAGAGAGAACTCGACGAGGAAGGCAGTTGCGCCCGCATCATCCTATGGATCTGTGAAAGAAAGACTCTCCTGGTGCTACGGCGAGAAAACTCCGGGAGTTCAGGGTCTGAAGAATCACGGAAACACCTGTTTCATGAACGCCGTGGTGCAGTGCCTGAGTAACACAGAACTTCTGGCTGAGTATCTGGGTCTGGAGCAGTATAAATGTGAATTATATGAGCGGAGGATCAACGGGGTGATGAAGAGTGAGGAGGTCAGGGGGGAGGTGACGGAGAAGCTGGCGTCGCTGGTGAGGGCGCTCTGGACGCTCGATTACACGCCTCAGCTGTCGGTGGAGTTCAAGGTGAGTTTCGACCAACTTAGGCTACACAATGGCACGCCCCTACATAGTGTAGACAACTTCTTTGAGAGATCCTCAAGTAGAGTGGAATCGTTTTATTTTGCTTTATACTGAAGGTCATCAACAGGTGGGTTTGTCTGAACAAATTGAACTACCTCCCAGAGTCAACCAAATCGCAGACATTTTGAACCTATATCGATTATTTCGGACATGTCCGATTCGGATTGATGGGGGTTAACAGCACGGACTCCGAATTGAACCGAAAAAATGTTGCAGATTCTAATTGACTTTCATGAGCTCATGGTTGCTAAGTAAACTGGGACACATTGAACACCTTTATAAACAACACGTTTGTTCAAAACATTTTGGAGTAGCTATGCCACGCTAGGTCAGGATAGGACTGAACCACTGAATCGTTCTAAATTGATTCTATAAAACGAACTGTTCAGAAGAACCGGTTCACGGAAATAAATAAGTGGACTTCCTCATCACTAATTCAAAAGTCTGCAGTCTAGTGTCTGTGATGAAGTGGGAGGGGCATAGAGTAGGAGGAGACAGGTGAATCACCTGTCAACAATTCGACCAACTTGTTTTGCAAGAATGCAGAATGTTTTTAATTGTCAAAAGGAGTTTGATCAGAAAAGTCATTTGTTTTTACTTTGTTTTCCTTTTTTGCAGGAAAAAATGGCAATGACACTACCTACTAATTCGCAATAACTCTCTTTTAAACGTTATGCATTTAAAACATTCAGATAGATAAGAATCCTGTCATCCACTAACAGCAAGATTGCTCACAGCTAATATGTAGGCTACAAATGCCTTGAAGGCTGAGTACCTAGAATCTTGTAACTTAATGCTTTCCCAGAGAGAGAGTTGTACATTCTTAACAGACCTTCTCCCTGGTGTTCCCATTCATTCAGATCTGCCCTGTTTACCCTTTATACTGTGGACAATTTCTGCTCTGTCTATAGACCTCATTAGCTTATAGTATCAAGTGTATCTAATGCACCCTTTTAAAAGCCAGCCTGTCCCGGGATTTCACTGTAAAATTATTTCTGAAGCCTAGTTATAGACTAAAATGGTCCTTTAAACTATTAACTGAACCCTGCCTTCTCTGTCATGGTTTTAAATAGTCTTAGACTATCTAGTCCAGAGTTTAATAAGCTGATTTGCTGGAGGAAGACTAGAGCTAGTCCAGGACTAAATTGAGGCTTAAATTAAACCTACCAGGAGCCAGGTTTAACTTCAGGTTAACGTGTTTCAAAGAAGACGTATTACTTGGATATATACAGAATTATATATATATATCAGAATTATTGGCACCCTTGGAAAATATGAAAAATTACAAAAACCTAACCTTTCATTGAAGCAAAATAACTGAAAATGGGGGAAATCTCATTGTGAAATGTTATTTTCTCTAATACACATTGGCCACAATTAATGGCATCCTTTTATTCAATACTTTTTGCAACCTCCTTTTGCCAAGATAAAAACGGAGTTATTTTTTTCTATTTTGTGCTATTTTCTTGACTTTCTAATTTGTGAAGCTCAACAACCTTTTGCTGCACATCAGAAGAACTATATTATTTAGCACCGGTCACAAGTGACACTGGATCATGTGACACTGAAGACTGGGTTAATGGCTGAGGAAAATTCAACTTTGATCACAGGAACAAATTATATTTTAAATATATTAAAATAGAAAACCAATATTTTAAATTGTAGTAATATTCTGTATTTTTTATCAAATAAGCATAAGAGACTTCTTTCAAAAACATTAAAAATAGTAATGGTTCCAAAGTTTTTATTTATTTATTTGATTGCAGTCTTTTTTCTACTGCCATTGTTTTTCTTTGATTTGCTTTTCAGTTCCATGCAATTTTAAGATTTTGTTGGTTCATTCCATGTTTTATAGGCAACCTCTTTCATGCTAATTCAGATTAGCACAGTTGGTTTGAAATTAATCTTGTTTATTTTTGTTCAGGACTCGATAGTCCAGGTGTTTGTAATCTGTACTCAATCTGTGTTTCAGAAAGCCATTTTGTAAACCACGATTAGCTATTCTAGATTAAGGCCTACTCCTGGATTAATTTAAACCCTGTCCGAGACCCTAAACTCCCCCCACCCCCCACATATATTTTAGTGCACACAAATTCAAAGAGTCATTAAGCAAAACCCTCTCAAATTTGTCTCATTATGGCCACAAGTTTAAAATTCATTTTAGTATGATTTATAGAGTTTAAATGTATTATTCATAAATGTATTATAGTGGCCATAAGAATTCCTTCAGTGTATTTGTAAAACTAAATCGAAAAGTGTGTGTGTGTGTGTGTGTATGTGTGTATGTGTGTGTGTGTGTGTGTGTGTGTGTGTGTGTGTGTGTGTGTGTGTGTGTGTGTGTGTGTGTGTGTGTGTGTGTGTGTGTGTGTGTGTGTGTGTGTGTGTGTGTGTGTGTGTGTGTGTGTGTGTGTGTGTGTGTGTGTGTGTGTGTGTGGTCTCGGTTACCCAGCAATGTGCATTACTGATACACTTACTACCTCAAGCACAGTGTGTTCTGCTCTGATATCATCCTAAGATGCATGTTTCTGATATCTGTCCCATTTCCATGCATTCCCCTTTACTTCTCAACAACACCCTGTCCTGTATGTTATACAAATAGAATGCATTTAGTTTCTCTGTCATAATGAATGGCACTTCCATAGGAACAAAATGAAATATGATAATTAATAGTTTAATTAGTAATACTTAACCATTCAGTTTTGTGCTCGCCTTGTTTACACGGTTTGGTGTGTTACTGAATATAGACGTGAAAGAGGCCACAGTGGATATTTAGTCTCTGAGGTGAGGAGATAAATGACGAGGGTGAGAAGGAAGGTCAGAGGAAAGTGAACACAGAGCCTGCCCTGAACATCAGCAGAAATGAATGACTCCTCCATATGGAGAAACAAGACAGACTGGACATTATGACTTTTATGCATCTCTCTTTGTTGTTCTTCCTTCCTGCCTGAGTGCTATATTCCTGCCAGTGTTTTGTCGTCCAAACTCTGTCCTGGAGGTCCACTGTCCTGCAGAGTTTAGCTCCAACTTGCCTCAACACACCTGCCTGGAAGTTTCTAGTATAGCCTGCAAGGTTAGCAAATAAAAGTGTAATGCCTGCTAACGCTTTGGGTTGCAGGGAAGGACACCAGAGGCCTTTTTTAAATGGATGTCAATGGAGGAGAGGCTTCACTATGCTGGATAAAGTGCTTTTGTGGGAAAACGGCATTTAATGAATTGACAGCGGCTAATCTTTAACATGTTTGCTCGTAATATATACCTATGTGTTGGATTGATCTATTCACTGAAAAGCAAATGCTTTTTTATAAGAGAAATCACAGACAATTGCATGGCAGGTGTGATTCAGTTTACAGCACTTCTCATTCATTTCTATGATATCCGCAAACAGTCGCACAACTCTGAACAATATTCAATGACATCAAGGCTGTAATGTGTTTGGTTATCAAAGCACACGTGATCCAAGTTAGCATTACGCTTTCTCCAATGTTAGAGCCACGGACACTCGTATCTCCCAATAATAAGACCATTTCTGGCATAGTAAGACCTTGATTCGCTGTTCAGGTGTGTTTAATTGGGGTTGGAGCTAAACCAGATAGCTTGGGGTTGGAGCTGAATAGGGCATTATTTGAGGGGACAGACAATTGTAGTGGTGTCCGAAACCATAGTGGACATTATCAAGTGCACTCATTCAATCCCACATTGCACCGCAATAACGAGTGTACAGCCGATGTACACTCGACGGCTGTCCGAATTCGCTCACTCGTTTGCATTCACTTCTTCAAGTGAATTGTATTAGTGGACTAACGTAGGAAATAGTGGTTGAGGGTTTAGGGGGCGATTTCGGATTCAGTCCCAGAGATTGTCTTATTATAAGGAGATGAGAGGGTCTGTGGCTCTTACCATTGGAAAAAGCGTAACGGCTAACTTGGATCACGTGAGGTAGGCCCACCTCATCTTATTATATAATGCCGCTGATGTCAGTGGCCAGCTTTCAGAGTTTTATGACAGACAGTTACAGTTACACACAGTTTCTTGTGGAGTAGCGCGTTCGTCTTGTGAGTAATGTTCTATATTTGGTGTTATATCGCTAGTAAACGTACAGTAGGACTGCAATGTTGGTGGAATGTGCTTTACTGAGTGGAAAAAGAGTGTGAATTACTTTGTAAGATGCACATAAAACCACACATTTAAGGTTTAGATTTGAATCTGTATGCATATCAGAGATACTAGTCATTACAAATGTAATTGTAATTTAATTGTTGAAATCTTGAATCCATAGAAAGAATACATTTATTTCTTGAAATCTTTATATTTTGTTTACCTTCATTCATTAAAAAGTGTTATTATTATTATTAGGCATACACAGCAGTCATACATCTCATTACAATTCAAGTCTAATTCATTTGTTGAAATCTGGAAGCCATGGTGAGTACACATCATTATTGTATTTATTTTTTAATAAAATAAATCTATTTATTTCATTAACAACAATATAATACAACATTTATTTTACAAGATTAATTTTATCTTTATTCATTAAAATGCATCATATCAGCACCATGGCAGTCATAGTCATTCAAGTCTTATAATTGGCAAAGAAAGAAAACATCGATATTGTTTATTTTCTTTAGACAATATAGATAATCATTCAATATTACACAATGGCGATTATTAAATACTACTACACGTTTGCTGCTGATAATGTCATGAATGAGTCTTACCTGTCGCAACATTCCCTACTCTGCCTACTCTTATAAAACAACATTTTTATCAAGGCAAAATCTACATTTAGTTCCCAACAAAAGTATTGTTTAGTGTAAAACATGTTGAAGATTAGCAAACAGGCTGTCTGTTCATTAAATGATAAGCTATTTCCTCACAAAAGCAATTCATTTGGTGTAGTGAAGCCTCTACTCCATTGATAACCATTAAAAAAACAGCCTCTTGTCTCTTTCCCTGCGTACTACCGACAAAGCTGGAGTGTTAGCTTTTTTGGCTAAAGGTTGCAGGCTTGTCGTATCTCCCAATTATAAGACCATTTCTAGCATAGTAAGACCTTTATTAGCTGTTCAGGTGTGTTCAATTGAGCTTGGAGTTAAACACTGCAGGACAGTTTGGACATCCCTGATCTAAATCAATCATGCAAATGAAAAAAAAAAAGTACATTAGAATGCCATGGTATGGTAATCTTCTTTATACTGATTTATTGATCAATATTGGGGTAAAACAAATGTGAGCTCGTTAACTAATTTCTTTCACCAGAGGCTTTTAGATTACATACTGTGCCTACATACTAAATTGGTAATTAGGTAGTACTAATCACACTCAAAATTGAACCGCTTTTTAAAAACAGTCAGATTTGTATATAACCTGTCCGCCTTATTGCTGTGAGTGACGAATTTTTAAAATGGAAAAATGAAATTGCTCCCTCCAGGATTTGCATGATGTGTGTAATTAAAAGAATGTTTCCAACACTTTAAGATGACAAATTAAAAATTAAGAGTCAGTCTGTCCTGCCGTAGTTTAAAATTGAATATGTGAAATATTTCATACTAAGCTATGATATGGACACTTTTTTGTTTGTTTTTCTCAAAATATCCCACAGGTCAGATTAGATTCCTCAATGAGCCATATTCAGCCAACTGGCCACGTCTTTGACACCCCAGATCTAAAATGGAAAACTAGTTGATTCTAAAATGAAAAGATGAATGTGGCAAAGGCACATTCCAGCGCGTCTGTCTGGAAAGCTTAAGAATAGGAGAGAAACTCTGCTAGCAGCGCTGAAGCTGAGGTTATGTAATGCCGTCATTCATCATGTTGCTTTAAATTGGCAATGGAACCAAGACAGGTCGTGTTAACCTGCTAGACTTGTTTGTCATTCTTGTGTAAGAGAAAGGAAAGGTTTGTTCTCGGAAGTGAAGGGAGCTTGGTAATTTATGTCTAACTAATTCACACACAAATGGTATTGTTTGCCCATTGGAGCTTTATATTGTAAGAAAAGGTTGCAAGAACAAAAATGAAATGTTTTACAATTTACAGGGTTTCAAAGTCTCTGTGCTATTATATTTAGTTACTTATATGATGTTCAAACAGTTTGCTACTGTATGAAAGGGTTGATAGTTGATCAATGGCTTGTTTGCGACTAGCTGGGAGGAAGAAAGTCAAACCTAGTCAGTTTAAATCTGTTCAGAGATGGGTTCGATTGAACTCTGTTGATTTAATTTCCTACATATCTCATACTAGAACACCTGTTAACCTGCTGTGGTTGTAGGCCTATATACATGTAAAATAAAATACAGCCTGAAGTTCCTGTTGTTGTTGGCATTTCTGTTCGTTAGAAGTATCAGCTTACAGCCTGCAGTCCTCCTGATTCATATCATATAATATTCATAGGTGTAAATGTCATAAAGCTGCAGTACAAGGACATCTTGGAACTTTGGACCCAGTTTACTCATGCAGACATGATTTGAATTGATAAAGGGTATCTGTGCTTCAGGTGAGCTGTTGTGACAAATAACATTGAGTATGGAACAGTCAGTGTGAATGCCCTTAAAAGAACAGAACACCCCCAAAAAGAAAATTCTAACATTATTCACTCACCCTCATGTCATTGCAAACTTGTATGACTTTCTTTAGGAACATAAAAGAAGATATTTTGAAAAAATGTCTGGGTTATGCTGTCAACACAATGGAAGTCAATGGTAACCAAAACTGTTTAGCTACCAACATTTTTCAAAATATCATCTTTTTTGTTCCGTAGAAGAAAGAAATGGATACAGGTTTGGAACGACATGAGGGAGAGTAAGTAATGACCATTTACATTTTTGGGTGAACTATCCCTTTAAAGCTCCTGTAGGTAACTTTTGAAAACATGTATTTGCTAAAACTGTCATTATGTCCTGACAGTAGAATATGAGACAGATAATCTGTGTAAAAATCAAGCTCCTCTGGCTCCTCCCAGTGGTCCTATTGCCATTTGCAAGAAATACACGCTCCCGGTCAGAAACAACCAATCAGAGCCAGGAGGAATGTCTTAGCAGTGTCAATCACGCTCGTGTACGCGCTGATCACACCCCTCTCTTGCACAGCGCGTACCGTCGTTCAAACTCAAGATTGCCGGTGTTCTGACGATTTGTGCTGCCTTGTCGAAAAATGCTACCGTAGCGCAAATCGATCACAAAGAATGTCGATTAATATTATATGAAATACAATAATACAATTCTAAGTTATGAGTAGCTACTGTATACTGTGGACTACTGTTTTTATTTTTAAAACGGTGTGAAAAGTAAAAAATTATCATCAAATATTCATCTTTGACTTGTCAAAGCACACCTTTCCTTAGTAACTGAAACTTTCAGTTATTCTTGTTCAGCTGGCTGACCGTACAAATATTCATATGGTAGTTAGCATTTTTTTAAAGAGAAATTACATTATAACACGAAAATGTACCTTTTGTTTAAAAAAAACTGAGTCTGCACATGCACATAACCAGTAAGTAGCAAATCTCGATGGGTAGCATGAATCGTCAGAACACCAGCGTGCTGCAGCTGTGCTTATGACGGAGAAACAACCTAAACTGCCAATTCTCGAGTGACACCTGCTCATAAAACAAAGAGGTAAAAGGAAAAAGACTGATGACGATAAACAAGCGAAAAAGAAAGAATTACACAGAGCCCATTGACTCTGTGTCAAAACTCTAGCCGCGTGACATGTAGATAAAATGTCACGCACTCTGCTAAGCAACAATTGAAACCTGCTAATTCACTGGCTTGTCATGTTGCTGAAATAATGTACTAGCACACCTTATCTAGCATTATATATCGCTAGAATAATTACTTACATACTGTAACGTTAGTTACCGTTATATTAACGTTATCTTACTAGCTATTTATAACTTATAGAAAGAGTGCAACGTTATAGAGTTACATGTAGGCTATTGCAAAATACATAATGATTTGAGGACCAAGTTTGTAGTCAAAGTATGGGCAGGCCATAGTCAATGTAAAGCATATTATTGACGTTTAGTCCCTATTAGTGAATGTGCCATATAACTTTTTATCCGCCGTTATGGGTGGCCCTGTTTACTAGCCTGCGCGTTCACGACAGGCTCCGCTGTGGAGGACGAGCTGTGGAGGGAGGGCTGTAGCGCAGCAGAGAGCAAGGGGGTGGGACCTGTAAGTTGTGCTTGTTCAAATTTTCAGGCTAAGTCAACGTTTTCTCAAAACTCCCTACTGCAGCTTTAAGTCACTGTGTTGGATTTGAGAACCAAAAACAGTCCAGTTTGTGAATGAATCATTCAGACAAATTATAACTTTACTAAAAGGATTTCTAAGAATGACTCGTTCACTAATAGGACATCATTACTTCTCTCTTGAACTTGTCAAGGAGTGCTTGGTTTTGACTTAAGTTTCAATCAGTTTCTTACACAAAGGTTTATTATATAGCTTTAAAAGATGTGGAATATAGTGCACGCTTCAACCATTTTTATCATACTTTTATGGTGCTTTCGCATTAGTTTTCATTCATTGTAATTGCATGGAAAAGAGCAACCATTAAGCTTGAGCTACCAATGAGCTGGCATGAGGGTGAATAAATGAAGACTGAATTTTCATTTTGGGTGCACTATTTTTTGATACAGTTGAGCAAACGCCATAACACTGATAAATGTTTTTCATCTTGTAAATAAACATGTTGTGCTGGTTAATGCAATACCGAAACCATATAAAATGAGAAATAAACTTTTTTTTTGAAGAGTGGAGAATGCAATATTTGAGGATTTTGTTTTTCTTAAGAGAAGAAATTAGCAAAATGAGGTTCCATTATAGAAATACAGAAACCCATGTATTTCTGGACGTACTGAAGCTTTGTGATTCCCAAAATCTGCCTCTATCCCCGATCAATCCAAATATATGTAGATAAGGAGATTATTATGATCTGATTATGTGATCAGATTGTCTGTTGCACAGCCCTCACACTCAGATGACAGTGTGGGAGTTTGACACATTCCTGATGTCCATCTTTGGGCATTTTGCGCATGTTAGTTTTTAGGCCTCAAATAGTTCACAACAAATCAGGTGTAAACTGACTTTTCAAAGCTTTCATGTGTTAGCATTGAGAGAAGTGGAAAATCTCTCTTCATTAAAGTCGATTTATTTTTGGACTCATTATCAGGTGAAAAGGTGTTTATCTTAGACAAGTTTGCTGCTCAAAATGTCACACTTTTTCATACAGCACCTGTAAATAAAACTGCAAAATTTAATAACACTCTTACATTGTATATTTTCAGAATAAGGGCTGTACACACCAAGAACTATGACTATAAGATAGCTATAACAATAACTATATTAGCATGATAAAAAAATTGTATACTATTAGTGGGCGCTGCAGTCATGCTGTCTGCCACTTTAAATGCTCGTGCTCTTTAAAGTTGGGTGGATTATGATTGGCTGTCACTGTTTTAAAAGTTCACAAGTTGTAAAAAAACATCTGAAAGTAAGTTCAAAGATATTGATCATAGTTGTCATTAATCGTTATAGTTGTGGTGTGGACTACTTCTCAAAGAATTAGAGAAATTATTAAAACTTCGTAGGTATAGTTATCGTTATAGTCGTGGTTCTTTCTTTAGCTCTGGTCCACGAATTTGGTTGGTTAAGTGGTGTTCCAAGGCCGTTTAATACCACAGCTGTCAACTTGTGAGTTTGATATTGTGTTGATGTGAAGGGGAAAATATTTGTTGATATGAAGTTATGTCATTTGTTTTAAAACTGAATCCAGATCAACATTTATCTGACACAATCTCCCGCTCCTTCCCTAGAGTGCTGTGTCCAAGTATGGCTCTCAGTTCAAAGGAAACGCTCAACATGACGCTTTGGAGTTTCTGCTCTGGCTCCTGGACAGTGTGCATGAGGATGCCAACCTCTCCACCAACAACAACCACAGCGGCAGAGCCAAATCGTCCAGCAAGGTAACACACCACCATCAGTCCTTCTAAACGCTCTTTAAAATCAACTAATTGGTGAGACAATCCAGCAACCAGCATTGTAATTTTAACACTAAAGGGTTAATATCGAAAATTTAAAGAAACAATAAAAAAATTTACATAAACTTGTAGAATGCACTAAACGACTAGTCTAGGAGTTCTCAACTCTGGCCCTTGAGGTCCACTTTCAAGTCAAGTCAAGTCAAATATATTTATATAGCGCTTTTCACACAGATTGTATCAAAGCTGCTTCACAGTATCAATCAAAACAACTTAACAGTGTTTGTTTATTACTGGAAAAGACATCCAAGTTTGGTAGAGCTGATCAGTGGTATGATGGGTCATTTAATTTGAATATCCCCAACTGAGCAAGCCAAAGGCAACAGTGGCAAGGAACCGAAAAACTCCATCAAGTGACCCGATGGTGTCCTAAAACTCCATCAGATGACCCAATGGAGAAAAAAAAAAAACTCTTTCCTGCAGAGTGTAGCTCCAACCCTAATCAAATACACCTGCCTGTAACTTTCTAGTAATCCAGAAGCTGCGTCCGAAATCATAAAAATGCTGCCTTCGGAGGATGCTTTTCAAGGTAGGAAGGCATCAAGGCATTTCCAAATTATCCAATGTTAGCTTCACTACCTGTCTCCTGAGATACCTTCATCTGATCTGTTTTTGAAGGCAGCATAGATGTATCCTTCGCTACCTTTGATATCCCACAATCCTGTGCGTTCCATTCCGTGACAGTAAAGGTCTTTGCACATTGAGTCCGAAATTGTCGTCTGAAATTTTTGCACGTTAAAAAATAAATACGACCTCATGTTGTGTCAATCACGTTTAGACACTGACCCCGAAACTTTCATCCATCAAACGTCAAAAAAATTCTGATCGGGTAAATCTTTTTGCGTTTTTCTCATCCATAGCAAGCATTTTGAGAGTTGTTTTGACAATTCAGTGCCACCGTACAAGGGAACGCCAAAATCCAGAACAGTTCAGGATCAATCGGTTCACGGAAATTGATGGTCTTTTTTTAAATATGTGGCTCCAGTATCGCAAGCAAAGCATCAAACTGAGCCACTGACATCCTGAAGTAGACTTTGAATCGCTCTGGATAATACCGCAGCTCCTTGATTAGGAGGTGGAGCTCTCCTTCCTCTCTATGCAATCTCAGGATTGGGTGGACCCAATATTTCCTCTGACAGGATGGCGGATGACAACAAAATCATCCTCACTGCTTGAAGACTCATCGCATAATAATTAATACGCACCGGCCTTGATTTCTGTGCGTGATGAATTTTTAGGATGACGGATACAAAAATACGAAAATTTCTGACTCAGTTGATGAATTTCGGACTTTGTTGTATTATTTCCCTGTTATCACTGTAAAGCTATATAAATAAAGATGACTTGACTTGACAAGGCTTAAACCTAGTCCCAGACTAAAATGCATGTTTGAGCTGTTTTAACTGAAAGCAACTTGCACTGATATATCTTAAATTGTTAGTGCCATTGTTTTGTCTCAAGATACACACAAGTAATTTATTTTTCTAAGTCACTTTATAAAAGCCTAATTTGTCTGTGGAAACCAGGCCTTCGTGTCATTTCTAGCGAGAAATTACTATTGTTGTAGTTCAATATTTGCTTAGTTTTTTTTCACCAAAGGTCACTCAAAGATCTTGCTGTAGATCATTCAATATTTATGCTTCCTCAGAAGTCTGTCCTTTTGACGAACCTTCGTGCACAAATGCTGCTTGCAAAGTCCTGATAGGACAGCAAAGCAACAAGTCAGCTGCCAAAGTTTTCGGACGCAGCCCTTGATTAGCTTGCTCAGATGTGTTTGATTAGGATTGGAGCAAAGGTCTGCAGGAAACAGGAACTCGAGGGCCAAAGTTGAAAACCCCTGGACTAGTCTGTTTCCATGACCCATCCTTGCTTAGGAGATAAGTGTTTTTCTCAGCGCAAAGCATCAGATATGTTATTAAAATGCTTGTTTGTTTCTATAAAGATATTTAGTTCATATAAACTACAATAACTGGAACTTGAACTTGAACTAGAATGACTAGAACATCCCACTAACTTTAAATATATAGTTTAAGGGATAGTTTCTGTCATCATTTACCCACTCTCATGTCGTTCCAGACCTGTATGACTGTCTTTCTTAAAATGAGCGCTTCTGAGAAAAGAAATAAACTAATTGCTAGAAGTTGTGAACATTGTGAAGTTCATGCCATTGTAAAAAGTGGCAAATGACCAGGCTTGTGTCTTAAAGTTTACCAGCAAACTTTGTTTTCAGAGTTGTCTCTGAAATATGTTGTGCTTATTACAGTACTTGGAGGGAAACTTACAGTTAATGCACAGTTTCTGCTACTTTCTACTTTGCAGTCCAAAACACTGCAGACTACTAATTTAAATAAGATTCCACTTCAGAATAACACTGTAAACATCATAACCTGCAATAGTTATCTTAAAGAGCTATTTCTACATATAAAAATCTGTTTTGTTGGTATAAATGTATGATTCAGTGATATTAAATAGTATTTTTGATCAGTTAATTTAGATGTTACCATTGTTCGGTGTACAGACCTCTGGTTGGGATAAAGATCTGCATATTAACACATTACAAAATTATAATAAATTGTTCTCGGTTATAATTGTTAACTTTTAATGCTTATTTGTGCACCGACATGCATTAAAAAATGATTTGGTTCCCCGTTTGCGTTACAGTCCAGTTCATTAGTTCATGTTCACCCAGTTCACCCCCTCATACATATAACTGCATGCGTAGTTTTTTTTTCTTCCATTGATGAGGCACTGCATCCAAACTACCAGTCATCTCTTGTGTGTCTCTCTACATGGTGTTTCTACTGAGTCTGGGGTCTCAAACTCAATGAGAAGGCTAATGAGAAGGAAGTTGCAGCCTAAGATACGACTCCCCCCCTGTGCATGATACATTGGCTGACTAGTTTTCCTGTTTCATTTGTTAACTTTTGTGCTAGAGAGAGGGTGTAGGAGGGAAACATGAGTGGGTGGATGTGTTGTAAGGTTCTGTGTATTTCAGTAAGACCTTATTGTAAGTGTTTATTCTCTTTAGAAATCAATGAGGAATTAGGGAGTGTGGAATGCACTTAATAAAAATTCACTGGGGTGTTTAAAAGAAGGTGCAGGTTTGATAATTACACATAATCACCCTCTCAGAGTTTGGAGGCTGTTAGAATGCAGTGGATTGTACAGTGTGTCAGACAGCAGCAGGTCAGCTCAAGTCTGTTTTGGCAGTGAACACACTTCAGCCTTTGTCTGCTGTAGTGGCAGCAAACGAAGACGCCAAGCCTGCATGGTAATGTGGCAGCTCCATCAAGAGCCATTTTTAGACTCATCACAGAATGGGTCCGTATCTCTGGCCCCATCACATCACACTCTGATCTCATCCAAACAGAGACACAATTATTACCAGCTGAATGACAACTAGACACTTTCATACCCCGTTATTGCTTACAATTTGACATTTGTATTTCGTTCTCGTTTAAATCAGTGAAGCTTCACACTGTGTCTGCGATTGTTGATTTTTATAGTTTTGGTGTGCAGTTTGCTCGTGTCTGCATTGCAAGTGAGTGGTGCAACATGAAGTGTGAGCACTTGGAAGATTCCACTTCTTTTTCACAACGGGAGGGACCGAGTCTGAGACAAGACAGAGACCTCAAGAGGGTCGAGTCAGAGTCGTGACCAAGAAATATCGTACCGGATTCAAGACTGAGTCCGGTCTCGAGTTCTACAACACTGATATTCAAAATGTCAAATATTTTAAACATAGTTTCAAACATACAAATCAAATGTTTCTAGTTAGAGAGAGAGCAAGAGAAATCGAGTAAGAGATGACAGGTCAATTGTTTTTCCTGGGTTGTTAAAATATCAGTATGATTTACCCAAGGGGGTAATCCATCGACCGGAAGTTGAAGCCGGCCGGGTGCCGCCATGTTGTAGCAGAACTTCACTTGCGTTAGCATTTCCATTGACTCCCATTCATTTTGGCGTCACTTTGACAGCGAATAACTTTTCATCTGAGGCGTTTAAAGACTCCATTTGTCCATTATTTATTTCTAAAGAAACACGACAATGTATAAAGGGCTCCATTACCTTCTATGTTACATTATGGCCCCGTAGAAACAGATTTAGTAAAAATAGGCTAACGATTGCGTCATAACCACTCGACTCTCTGTCGCGCTGTACAGAAATTACCGTACAGACAGGAGGAGAAGCTCGCAGGCAATCGGGGGGACGTCCCGTCAAGGGAGAAGCCCATAGATAATGAGTCCATAAAAGCGACGGAATACTTACTCCTGCTCACTCACGCCAAAGAACTCTTTGCTCAAGTTCCCCGTCTCTGCAAGATTAACGTTGACAATTTTCACGCACAGCTACTAGAAGATTAACGTCTGTCAGACAGGTTGCTCACGTCATCAAGCTTAGTTTGAGTCGGTTTGAGTCTGCGCGTCAGGAACGGAAGTGCTCAAAAATCGCTAAAAATGGGCTTCAACTATCTCAACTGAGTTCCAATGAGATGGCTCTGTCCACTTCTTATACTGTTTATGGATTTACCATGAAAGTGCTCATTTCAGTGGTTAACCTCAAAAGAGTGAGAGTGAGAGTTTACTCAGAGATTAGTCGGTCTTGGCTATAGCCTGATGTACTTCGCCTACATGATCACAAGAATCTATAACAGTTTGAAGGAAACATGTATATAAATAGTTGTGACTATCAGAATCGTCCTAGTGCTCACACTTTAATAGGATTTACCCAGCAAAACGGAACCTTCTCTAAAGGAAATATTACTCAATGTGTCCACCGCTTCAAAGCCCAGCTGTCCATCTGTAATTTACCTTCATCACTTTAAATGATTTTTTTTAAAGACCCTATTCCGTTGATGTATGGAAAAATTAAAGCAATATAATTTGCATTCTTCTCTACGTAGCTCTTTCAGACTTTCTGGAGGT